TATATATTATAATAAGTTTTTACTATAACTAGTTTTTGCTAATTAAAATTCCCCTAAATTAGTTTGTATAGTGCTCTGTCGTCTATTTGCTGTTGCTCACTGATTACATCGATCGATCGAACACAAATGTTTGGTCCTCGGTATCTGTTCATATGGTTTTACGCTATATAAAATAAATAGTACAATTGAATTGTGCAACGTGTCATCACAACAGAGATGATGTAAAATATATATACATAGAATTTGTACCATATTCGTAATAATTGATTGAAATTTTGCACTTGCCTGCCCACTCTTCAAATATTTGTTTTTCTAGTATACCTGGTTGCCTTTACCCAGTGTTTTTGCATTATGTCGGTACGGTCTAATGGTAATGTCTTTACAGGTCAGTCAACATAATCTGTTATACGAAATCATGTGCCGGATATAGGCCATCCACTTGCAATGAGCCGTGTTGTTAATTGATTGTGACTATCTTTCATATATACATAAGTGTTATGTGTGTTAATGGTCTTTGAATCTCTTCTAACGAGGCATTAAGATGAATGATTATCCCGATGATTTTCGCATTGTATTTTGTATCTTCAAATTATGATCGCAGTTAAACTTCGGGCTTCGATGACAGCCGTCACGGCCGACAACAACAACTCCAATTATGCGGTTATTAATAAAACGTCGAAAGTCGAAAAAGAAAATAGTAAAGAACAGCAACAGACCGCCACACAACAACAGACTACAACGCCGGTAACCCCAGTAACTCCTGTAACACCGCAAGAATCTGAGGCACCTCGGAGTGGGGCTACCGACAACGGACAAGATAAAAACCCAGTCGTTCGCAAAAGCGTAGCAATGAGCAAGGTAGGTATTTATGTGTGAATAAGATGCATGACATACCCTCTTCTAAAGTTCCCTCTAATGAAGTTAGCTTTGATTTAAATGTTTGCTGCGTGTCTAATTAGGATTAACAGCCCTAACGGTTAAGAAGGGTTTGCTCTCCGTTGCTCAGAAAAAGTTGCCTGTCGAATCCGAGCTTATTTACTAAAAAAATATAGCTCAGTCACTACCCATATGAAGCTCTGATATGCCTAACCTAAGATATCATACAAACTATCGTTATCATATTTACCTATTTTACTTTATAGGTGGACGAAATTAAGAAAAATCGTGAGGAACGTCGAGCGAAGCAAGCTGAAGCTATGGCCCATAAACAGGAGATGACCAAGAATTCCTCAAACAACAAAAACTGGGAATTCGGAAATATGATCAAGTGAGTACAGACTTCCTCACCAAATGAGCCTTGACTTCTGAATTTGAGTATACTCCTCGCATTTACGTGACATAAGGTTGTGTGTGTGATTTTTTTTAGTCTAGAGACTTTTAGTGTGAGGCACAGGTAGCTTACTTGTGTATGTGTTTCTTCTCTATATCTATCCGGTTTGTTCACAGGGAGTATCGCCAGCAACTAAATATTTCTGGGTTGAATATTAACGAGCCTGTCCTAGACCACAAAATTTGTGTCGCCGTCCGTAAACGACCCCTGAACAAGAGGGAATCTGCTCGAGGTGAAGTTGATGTAGTTACGATCCCCAACCGAGACACAATTTTAGTTCATGAACCAAAAACCAAGCTCGACTTAACACGCTATCTTGATCACTCGAACTTTCGGTTCGACTACGCCTTTGACGAGGGCGTTGACAACGAACTAGTCTATCGTTTTACGGCTAAACCTCTCGTAAAGACGGTGTTTGACGGTGGAATGGCTACCTGCTTTGCCTACGGCCAGACTGGTTCCGGAAAGACACATACAATGGGTGGGAACTTCAGTGGAAAAGGCCAAGATTGTTCGAAGGTACGCGAGGAATCACCGCTACTATTTAAGATATATAGTTCGGTTTTTTCTAGAATTGTATAGGACATGTCAGTCACTGAAGACTAATTAGAACTATCACAGAATAAGTGTAATCTTTACTTTATTCGGATCGTTCTCCGTTGTCTCTTTTCGATTCGCAGGGTATTTACTACATGGCTACACGGGATATCTTCACGATTCTTCGACAGCCTAAATATGCATCACAGAATCTTGTTGTAACAGCATCTTACTTCGAGATATATGCAGGCAAAGTGTTCGATCTGTTAAATGGCAAAGATATGCTTCGTGTGCTGGAGGATGCCAAGGGTCAGGTTCAAGTATGTGGACTCACCGAGATCCCAGTACACTCTGTCGACGAAGTACTCGAACTTATACAAAAGGGTTCATCAGACCGTACAAGCGGACAAACGCAAGTTAATGCAAACTCATCGCGTTCACATGCCGTCTTCCAAATCTCGCTCAGAAAGGCGTAAGTAGTATATTGCTTCTCTATCGTATTGGTTGACTGACGTTTAAGCTAATAGTCACAAGTGATTCGTTTAAACGGACATTTCTGTAATCAGAGCGATAAATTTTACACTAATCTTTGTATTTTATTCGCAGCACTCGGTTACACGGGAAGTTCTCTCTGATCGACCTGGCAGGCAACGAACGCGGTGCTGACACAGCCTCAGCGGATCAGCGCACGCGAATGGAGGGTGCCGAAATTAACAAATCGCTTCTAGCATTAAAGGAATGCATTCGAGCATTGGGTCGCAAGAACGCCTCCCATACGCCGTTTCGTTCATCAAAGCTAACCCACATTCTCAAGGATTCATTCATCGGCGAGAATACGCGAACCTGCATGATTGCCATGATTTCCCCAGGAATGGCGTCATGCGAGAACTCGCTTAACACACTTCGCTATGCCGACCGTGTGAAAGAGCTTGGTGCTGAAAACCCTCTCGAACGGCAGGAGCGTGAAGATCGAGAGCTGGAGAATATTGTCGACGTTGATGATGACGATGCACTCTACGATGTAAGCTGCTAAATAAAGTAGATAAATTGCCAATGTGTATGGTATTAGACGTAGTAATACTATGGAGGTTTACAGTTTCGAATTGTCGTATTCTGTCATAAGTGTGTCGGCAACAAAACTTAAGAAAATTATGATACTCCGTGCGTATTAATGTGCTGGGGTTGACGATTACGTTATAGTACGTAATGGCACTGCATAGTATACTAAAAGATATTTCTGCTTGTTTGTTTTCTGTTACGAACCACTCGGTCACAATAGGGTGACCAAATATCATCGGAAATGTTAGAACTGACACAAGCTGTTAGCCACCTCCAGGAGCTGGAGGAGGATTTGTTGGAGGCCCACAGGGAGATGATCGAGGTCTACCCCAAGTTCACGGTCCAGCTCCGCCAAATCATGGACGTTACAAAGCGTGTCGACTATGACATGGTCGAATACGTCGGTCGTATGACTGACCTCATAGAGGAGAACAAACAGTACATTGAACGAATGGAGGCACGATGTCGGTAAGCATTATTCTATGGGACTCGACTGACTGGTTTTAGAAAGCTATCAGCATATCGACGATAAAAATCTGACCTTATTCTGGATTACACAGGATTTTAGGCGATTATCCTCGGTCCGCAAGCCTCATTATCAAACTGTCGCATTTTCCGCCATTTAAAGATACGACTTATGTCCGCCCCGTGTATTTAGTTACCGTGAGGGCAAACATGTATTAATAAGATGAGTGTTTTTTTTTTGCAGAGCGATGAGGCAGCAGATGCAAGAAGAAGAGAAGATTTCAATGGCCCTTAAAAGACCTACGCACTATTAGGCATCGTGCCTCACATTCAGCCTTCGTCCTCCGTCTCTTGCTTGCGTCGACGTGACAGTAACGAACCTGACAGATAGAAGTAGCATAGACGTAACATAATACACCCAATACATGCTCCGATTACAGCTGTAACATCTTCGTTGTGACTATATGTTTCCTTTTGGTTTCGCCAGTAAAGAGTCGATGAAAACATTGATCTAGCGAGAGTGTTACCAACTTAGTGTTCGAAATTAATCCACCCTAATAAAAAAAAAAAGAAAAAAACTAGACCACTATCGAGTAAATTAAAACCAACGTAAACAAACTCTGGATGACTTATTGGATTCGCAGCGTGAACCGTTGTCGAATGAATATGTGGCTTGCCTACCTCTTCATATCCCAAAAATGTGTTATGAAAATTATGTCTTAAAAGTCAGCATTAACAAGTGATTTAAAAAAAAAACTATCTAATATCACGCACCTATCGTATGCAGCCAGATGTTCCTAAGTGCTATCTATTGATGAAACGTTTTTCCATTTGTAAGAAAACGCCGTGTAGCATGCCCCACATTCTAACAGGTGAGTCTATACCAATAAATATCGCAACGCTTCAGCTACTCTCTTAGCAACTTCGTTTGCTACCATCGATGTAGGGTTATTCCGTGTGCACATGGGTTCTCGTACGCTATTTACAATACATTCGATAGAGACTACAAGCAAGAGATCTGGCTCGCATGCGTGTATATTCGGAGACGCGGAAGGCGTTTCTCATAATCCACTATAATCATGCGCGAACATATAAAAAAAAAATCCAATGATCCGCTCGTAGTGATTCAAAAGCGTGACACAAACTGATGAAAAGATCTGTTTCCAGATAAAGAAACACAGTACAGTGTGTTAAAAACGAAAACAGCCTCCGTCAGTAGCTGTATGCCAGTAACTATTCGCTTGCGATGTCGATCACAAAATATAGCGGACCTATACAAAACCGATCGTAAAGCATGACTCACCCAGTACGTTTCAGTCAAACGATATAATTTCTCCATCGATTTAAGATCCCACTTGATGTATAATCAACAATTTCTATATGCATAATAGATCCCATATTTTCTCTACTGCTACTTGGACTTGTCATTTTGTTGTAGCAATAAACGAAGTAATAGCAGAACTTCTGGGGTGTTTGACATGACAACGACTAGAGCAACTTAGTAAACAATACAGCTGTATAGGGGGTTCTTACGCCGCTGGCGAACTTGTGTGTTGTCATCGGCTTGAAATGATGATGATGGTCACTCTTCTTCTAAGTAATAATATAATCATAGCAATGTTAGTTATGATTATTTTGATATTTCTAATGATAGTAGTATAATTTGCTTGTCAAAAATTGCTTCTTTAGATATTATACAGAAGATAAGCGGTTAGCATTTTAACGTACACACAAAAAATGGCTGAAATGTTATAATTATTAGAACAACAAAAGTAATATAATAAGTACGAGGCGTCTGTTTGTTTATATAACATTCTGCTGATTCTACTGATGATCGCTAATAACATGAACATTGATCATATAATATCAATATTACTAACATTAGTAATATTAGAAGAATATTAATGATATACTAACGACAGTGACTATATCTACAACAGTAATTATATTGGGACAGTGTGTTCAAAGGGGCGTTGGCTGTCGGACGGCAGAAGGTGTGCACTTAAAAGGGGCGTAAGGAGGGATTTTTTAGGAAAACGGAGACAAATAAGGGGAAAAGCCAATCATACCCGAAGAGGGAAAGCCTTGTATCAATTCTGTGATGTGTTTTTCTCATGTTTGTTGTTTGTGCAAAAGAACAACGACGAATTTGTGACTGCCGAGACAACCAAACGCTTGCCAGCACCAAGCGGATATTTATTTATGCATTATCTAGGAATTGCAGTTGTAACGAAAACGTTAAAAAATACCTGTCGTAACTGGTGTGACACTAGAGATTTTCTAAGTAATGAATAGCGTGCGCAACCTGATTCCAGCGTCAATGTATTTTAATAATTTGCACCGGACATCTATCGAGTCTAATAATCAGACTGTTGACATAAGCAATTTCCGGCTGGCAAAAGCGGTTTCATCTGTCTATACGCAGGCATCTTGGCTCTTTTCAGCGTGTGCAAAGAGCCAGCATGTTCATATTTAGGCATGTCTGACATTGCCGAAAATATTTATAGATGCAATTTACCGTCGATAACGTTAGCGCAATAGTCAGCAATAACTGGGGCCGGCGTCGCCGTCGTTGTCCCACCCAAACACTCGGAGCAAAAAATCTGCGCGCAAGTTTCGCATAAATTGAACTACCGCAATGCACCATTGCATTCAGTTGATTTTATCATATAACCATCGTATTTGTGTCTCGTGATTCTGCATTGAAGAGACACCCAAGTACCATCCCAAGGACAACATTATGTTTTTTCAAGGTGAATAATTTCCTGGTTATGACCAGTGGAGAACAAACAACTCATGCTAGAGAGGTCATGTAAAACCCATGTGAAGATAAGGATGCGAATTCTTTGGCAGAAAACGCTTTTTATAACTTTAAGCATTGTCCTTCTTTATTAGACCCGCTTGACCTTTTCTTGGCATTTGTCCTACTTTTAGGTAAAATGACAAGTATCTTGGCTGTACCCTCTGTCTCTGTCGTATTTATATATAAATATATATACATACATAGAAAACGAGAGTAGGTACAGAAGAAATACGTGAATAATATCGAGAATATTATAAGGGAACGGGCAGAAAGCAAGCAGCAAATGTCAGTGAAAGCAAATAAATTAATTGAACAACCGAATGTTGGCGCAGCAAAGTACAGAAGTCACGGCGACAATAAACAGATAATGAAAAAAACATCGATTTAGGAATATTATCAAAGGAAATATAATGACAAAACGCTATGGGACGAGGCCGCCAAGTAATAAAACAAGAAAATAATTGTCAAACTACATTACAAATAGAATATTATACATAAAAGCATATATATATATATATATGTGCGTGTGTGATTTACTAAAAATGATGAAATACACTAGAACAGGAAGAAGGTCCCTAAGAAAAAGCAACAAAACCTATTGGCTGTCTATCCAGTAGATAATAAAGGTATTTAAGGTTGTCCTCTGATAGGAACGTCTCGATGAGCAAAAACTAAACGTCCAGCAACGCATGCTATTAGCGAAGTGCTAATATATGAAGCGGCAGAAAAATGGTGATTATTTGAACAACACCAACAACAACAACAAAAGAAAAGTGACAAACTCTAATTATACACAACAGCCGCAACGAAAGCAACAACACAGAATGGTAACTATGTAACGGTAGTAACAAGGTTTACTCCTATAAAAAATCAAGCTTTAAGTCGTTGTCTTTGTCGTGCTGATCAGGGTCATTCGTTCAGCATTCAGCGTAGTGCTTGAACACATTATATAACTATGTTTAACAAAGCAACCAACGGACGCTAACAAAGAATAACACGTTAATGGAAGCGATAGAACCAAGAACAAATTAAGGGAAATCTGGGAAAAAATTCCGAGCAAAAAAATAATCCCATGTGAAATTCATGTTATTTGGTTTAAACGTATTTCCCCAGCGGGCTGAGATGAGGCCTGAGGGCCCTGGACACCGGCGTTAACTATAGGTAATAATAACGACCGAATGGGCCAATACAGTAAAACAATTTAGCTAACAAGAACACCAAGGGAATACATTGATTGGATCTACATATTTCGTAGATTTCGGATAAATTAAGGTTATGATGAGTACGAGCGAAAAACAAACAACGGACAATATTATATTAAATAAAACGCTTTTTACTTATCCATGAATTTTCATCGATGTCTTTGCAGTTACGGATACATGGTATTTTACTTATATATATATATAAGTAATAATATTTACTTATATATATATATATAACCAATAAACATATATATATATGTTTATTGGTTACTGAAGGAACGTTAACAGCAGTATTTTCTATGAAGTGTTGGGACTTCTTTTTTGGCAGGACAATGGTGTAGTCTAGCAATTACATTTTTAATTTTGTGTAAAGAAGAACGCTTGAATGTTACCGCAATTGCGAGGTTACGCTTTTCCGAGATGTAGTAAATATCAACCGATACAACACGCTTGTTTGATAGTACATAAAACTCCGTATCGTAAGATGAGAAGACGTATCATTACGTTGTAACCAAACTGAGCGAATTTTTGTACGATTATTGTTGGTAGAAAATTGTCCACATCTTCTCGTGTTTACCTACTTCTACTGTTGCTTTAAAATAAGCATAATTTTTCTATCATCATAGAAACGACAAGCCATGAATGTTACGTTAACTTATAGACTTGATCCAAACCGAGTCCTATATTGGAGAACAAAACAGCCCTCCGAAGAAAAACCGCAATTTATCATCTAATAGACGATCTCATCAACATGAAACCTTTCAATGTGCCAGGTACTTCTTAAATTGGTTATCTTCGATTAAATTTCCTTATATCGCTGAAATGGTACCCATCTGCCGGGCTGTGCTGCTTCTATACTATTATATAGTATAAAATCTACGCTACAATAGCAATCCAAAGGCATCGTTTAAACTGTCTTCTTTTAAACGTTACTCGTAAGTTAATAGAACATAGCTATTTGATCATAGCCTTCGACAAATATAACAACTGTATGTGCATAAAGATCTACTCATTATACATAGATTAATAACTGCTCTAATACAGGTCTAATTGATAATTCACACGCTTGACTTCCATGACTACCTTCTCTGTTTTGTCCTTTTACGTCCGATATAGCCATTAGGCATTCCATCAGATGGCGAGCGCTCAGCATGAAACGAGGCCTTTTCGTGTCTAGGACCACAACGTATTTTTAAGATCATCAGGCAAATAGGTTATCTACTAAGCTATCACAAAAGCTTTGCTGACTAACCTATCCACATAGAACACATAAAAATAAAGATTTGTATTCGCGTTTGTTTCGAATTACTAGCTTACATACTTCTCAACCTAGTTCAGGTCCGGTTATCGTATATATATATATATATATATATATAAAATGAAATGAATATATCAAATAACTAAACAGTTTAATAAGGTATACTTGGTAAACCTCGTTCTCTCTTTCTTGAACCAACTCTCCAACAAGTGATTCGTACAGACCCTTGAAAGCTCATTTTGTCGCAACCAACTTGAATACTCTTCTTCTGAAAACTAGTTCTTAACGCGTAAATACTGTACCTATGGAAAAAATGCTACCTAGGGTCTAAATCCCACCACTTTATGCAACAGCAATAGCGTTAGCAATAATCAGCTATATAGATGAACTCTTGTGTTGCAGCAGAATATTGTGAAGTTATTCTCTAATCTACATTCGATTGTGAGCGCCTTATTTTTGTGCGACACACCAGCTAAGGGCCAGTGAAACACTACGAAACTCGGTCACTATCTAGTACATGTCTGATTTACGACAAACACAAGCCAAAAGCCTTGTGAGGACCATTTTCGCTGCCGCTGGTGTTAAAAGACTTTTCCTACACCCTGTCTGTTCTGCCGTAACGCTCACGCCCGTTCGTAGCCATATGATCGTTACAAGCAGAGATAATCGCTTCCTCAATGCTTGTTTTCACTCCCACCGCGCCAATGGGACTCCTACTGTGTTAGGTTGGCGGGCTGCTGAACGAGGCCTCAACACAGACACGCGACACCGACCAATAGAGAGTCGCAGACAAACCGAGAGAGACAGCGAGGGGCTGAGAGAGCACCACCATATGGGAAAGAGTACGGTGCCCTATACTCTATTTGAACACGCAGCAATTTGCAGGCGTCATTAAACCACGGCGCCTTGATCGCACGGACGAGCAAGCGAAACTACTCGCCAGCAGAATGCAGATTAGGTCGGTTGTTCCTTTTTCACCAATAAGGCAACAAAAACTGTTGCGCTATCGGCTCATTCAGTTACGAGTGAATTGAACTACGGCTTCTTTTAGGTACAAAGAAATAAAAACACCCGATTTTAGTTCCTGCAGGCTGAGGCGCCGCGCTGCGCCGCCTGGTGTAGCGACGCACGCAATCTCAAATCAGATTGCTATGACCACCTCTTCTTATATCGAGAGAGGCAGGACCTGTTTTATTACAAATGACCAACGCTCTGTTCACATTTAAGCATAGACCAATCACATCTATTAGCCTCACGCTGATTGATTGACTAGAGACACTAGGCACTAACGACCACGACTGCTGCTACTACACCCTGACTACGACACAATTGTACGGGAGCAATAATCGGCTGTTTACAGGTCTTTTCACATCGACGCTTATCTGACCTCCTTTCGCTACCGATTGTGCCGCTGGCGTCATTCTGCTAATGAAATGGATTGATCGTAGTATAGCTCTTGTCAACGCCAAAATAATTTCGGTCTGCGCGTCCTTGTGTTGTAACGTGTTACTGTTATCGTCGTGAGAGTGACGGGACGCAATCGCTCGTTTGAAGGTAGCTGATGCAGCTGACAGACAAACTTCTCAACCGCACAGACCACAAAGTCCTTGACACTAAACCTGACTTCAACAGATCCTACTGCTACCGCCATCGTTGTTTTCAGGTGGAAAAGGAACAACCGACCTAAACTGCTTTCTGCTGACGAGTAGTTCCGCTTGCTCGTCCGCGCGATCAAGGCGCCGTCGCTTAATGACGCCTGCAAATGACTGTGTGTTCAAATAGAACGCAGGGCGCCGTACCCTTTCCCATATGGTTATGCCCTCTCATCCCCTTGCCGTCGTTGGCCTTCTCTCTCGGTTTGTTTGCGGCTCTCTATTGCTCGGTGTCGCGTGTCTGTATCAATATCAGTAATCAGCAAATCGTGGTATAGATATTACGCATTGCTTGTTTTCCCTGGTGTCTGTGCGCGAGCGCAGCGCTTCCATATCTTCCTTCAGTTTAATTGAGTGCTGCCTGCTTTGTTTGATTTTATTGGTTTAGCTACTCCGCCTTTCCGTCGAGCGCTAACATGTCGTCGGCATCGGACATCAATATGAACAGCGTAGCCAGAACCATTCTGGTCGATGTCAGTCTCGCTAGGTCCGACGCTCAGAGCGTCGCTGATACCCTTCGTGTGATCGACGAACAGGTCGCTCCATTAGGCTTGCAGCGTAAATTTGAAGTACTACAGTTAACTGATTCGCAGTTGTATATTTATGTTAGCAAAAGCTACGCTAGTGGCACGCTTCGCATCTACCCCTCGAAGAAGTTGGCCACCCTAACGATCGAAGAGTCTAGTGAGGATCAAGCAATGACCAATGAAGACATCGAGTCGCTGCGGAAACAGCTAATGCGCGAACTCGAGGTACGCGTCGTAAGGGTGCCTCATCTGAAGAGGGGCCCGCCTGTCGCCAACTATTACACGTCGGCTAATGAACGACTGTTCGAATACGATTTCGAAGAGATTTTATTTGAGAAGAAGAGCGACTTTCAAGAAGTGAAGATTCTCAAGTCACCGACAATGGGCGCTGTGCTTTTTCTTGACGATTTGCAAAATCTTGGCGAGTGTGATTTGCCGTACACGCATGGCATCATGAACTTCGGCGATTACAGCTACACAGATAAAGAAATCCTTATCCTTGGCGGCGGAGACGGAGGACTGCTGCACGAACTACTCAAGGAGAAACCGAAGTTTGTTACAATGATTGATATCGACGACGTTGTGATGAAATCTTGCCGCAAATTTCTTCGAGGTGCTTGTGGTGATGCGCTCGATTCGTATGAGGGTGATAACTATCAAGTAATTGTAGGCGACTGCCTTAAATACATGGATAAATACGCGAACGAAGGCCGTAAATTTGATGCGATTTTCGGCGATCTCACCGATGTGCCAATTGTCACTGGTGAAAACGGTAATGAACAACAACATGAACAGTGGCAGTTCCTGTCGAAGGTGGTCAACGATAGCCTAAAACTGCTGAAAGTTGGCGGCGTATTTCAGAACCACGCGACAGGCAAGGGTTGCGGTAACGCGTTAGAAACCTACGAAAACTTCCTTAAAACTTTGAAGGATACACATTTCACAAAACGCAGTCGTTTTGTTCCGTCATTTCTCGAGGACTGGGTATTCTACTCCGTTTATCTGGACAAATAATAATTGAATTCTGTCCAAAAGATGCATCATTATCAGATGAGTATAACCTATAGATGTTGTACTATAATCACTCGAAAGAGCTGAGCTAAACAAAAAGAAGACCAGAGAGCGATTCGGGCGTGGTCGGGATAAGCAGATAGATTCCACAAAGACCAGAGGGCGATTCGGGCGTGGTCGGGATAGGCAGATGGATTCTACAAAGAGAGAACAACCAAATATCAAAGCTTTACTGTTCACTATGCTTGTTATTGATTCTAGAGAGCGCAACGATCTTAAGAATCCGTCGGAAAGATGTCATATTGTGTTGAAGAATAATCAATGGCGACTGCTGTTTCAAATTATTCGCTAAAGTTGATCGAGTATTAATAATTCTATTTACGAAATTTCGGCAACAAGCAATAAAATTGATTAATATTCATGCTACATCGCTGTGCATCCATACATTCCGTTATATAAACGGGAGCGTTTTCTCAGATTCTATCTACTGATATTACAAAGTATCCCTCTTCTTCTATTGTATATATATACATTAGAATTACACGTATCTACTTGTTTTAGAACTATCCATAAAACGATTAAGAATTTTATCCCAATAAGCGATTAAATAAACCTAAAAATCGTATCAAACCAATTAATCGTATTATCAATCATATTTTCCCGCAAAATTATTTTTATGAGCAGTATATAGACAGTATAAACATTGATTGTTGCTTCTTTGCAGAACAGGGCTGATTGCGATTTCGAAACAATGTGTATCGATCGTCAAAACTAAAAGCTCCTAAACCCAAAGAAGTGTATAGAAGAAAGTACATAGATTTTGAAAAATCAGTAGCCAAAAAAAAATGTTAGAAAATATTTGAAACGAGAGTAAGAGAAAATCAGTTCGCTTCTTTAAATGTAATGCTTTTGCAGACCAACTATACGTTTATATAGTGCGCACGCACTATTTCGTACTGAATACGATTCTTATGTTCGCTTTATGAGATGTAAATCTATCTGAAACGGTCGCTCATTAATGGAATCAATATGAGAGGTTGCGCAACGCCCCCTATAAAAAAATAGTTTTGCATTTTTGGGAGCAATCATTCTAGAGAAAATTTAGCTATTAAAGGTTAGTTAATTGTTTTTCCTTTGTTATCATATTTTATGAATTTTCGTCATGAAAGGAGAATGAAAAAGGGAACTAGGCCCGGAAGTTTTCCGAAATGAGTTAAATCTTAAACATCTAATATTTGGCATTTTACATTTTTTCCAAAAAAAAAAAAGATTCCAACTTTCCGCATAGATAAACGACATCTTTTGATTCGGACGACTTTGCAAGCGCCTAACTTAGCAAATGACGGTGGGAAAATTTATTTTAATCATGGTAGTATACATAGCCGGTCTAGCCCTCCATGTTTTTAATGTTACCTTTTTGCGTTAACGTTAACGCAAAAAGTTAACGTTAATGTTAACTTTTTGAGACAACTGCAGAACAACGAATGGCAGTTCCTTATGATTTGATAGATATTTCAAAAGTAAATTTAAAAAAGGTGTTCGATTATACGCTATCAAATCATCCTGACATAATCATACTATTACATGAACGCGAAGTATACCAATTGAAAAATTCTAGTTGACATTAAGATCTTCTCGATTTCGATAATAAACCAGCTGTTATTACACCGTACTGGAATAAACCACATCCAGTTTTTTTTATTAATTAATGTTATTAGGTATTTTATTAGTTTTCACCATTTCTATTTTACTTACCAACTATACGCCTTTATACAATGTAACGCACATAGACACTGTTCAAGCATACATAAATCCACATAATACTCTTTTAATTGTTTAGGTATATATTCACAAAAAATAAGATAATATAAAACAAAAATGAAACTTTGCTATTTACTACCTCAACAGCTAAATAGCATATACAAAACAAACCTATATTAGTTAGCATTTATGTGTGTGATTATGCCTCGTAGATTTTAATTTCGGGCTTTAAATCCAGCTGCTTGATCGCCTGCAGTTTTGTTTGCGTTTCTGACATAAAAAACAGAGAGAGTTGATATTTTCTATAGATTTATTATTATGTTATGTTGTGTTCCTGACCGTCGCTAAAGCAACGCCTTCTCTTCTTTACTTACTTTTTACCACTTACATATTGTTATGTTTATTTCAAGGAGGATGCATGCAACATTTTAAATTGAGTCATGTCGTAGAACAATCGCGGAAAGGATGAGCACTGTGCTATCAGATGAAGTATAGCCTATATATAAACAGAAAGAAACCAATTTTCTTGTCAACCTAACAATTGTACTCTACTAGATTCTACTGTATACAGTAAATCAACCGAGTAAATCAATAGTAGTAGTAACTACTAAAATGATCAACGCAAACACGTTCTTACACTTAGAGAAGATACATTTTCTCTATTATACAATTACGTTTGAATTGTGTTGGTGTAAACTATTCTGTTCACAGCATCACTGTGTTCAACTTGACATTATAAATTCTTTCATGCTTCCTTTTTCCTACTCCATGCTATCTCTATTATCTGTAGTAGTGCTGTTGTTGGGTTCCTGTAGGCGGAGCACGATAGTCACGATGAGTAGGTGGCTGAGGTGGCGGGGGCGGTCTTTGCTGCCACGGGGGCGGAGGCGCTCTCGAGGAGTGGCCCGAATGGGGCGGAGGCGGCTGATGGGCGTGACTCGCGTGGGTAGCATGGGTGGTGTGACTACTGTGGGCCGAATGACCGTGGTTATGAGACATGCTTGCCGCGGCTGCCGCTCGCCCGTAATCATCGTATGGCGTTGGTGGCGGTGCCGCGTAGGCAGTGGGAGGTGGCGGAGGCGGGGCATGAACAAATGTGGGCACAGCCGGAGGCGGCGGTGGTGGAGGAACGGGACCAACGCCAACGGGGACCCCAACGGGCGGGTACTGGGCGTGGGCCGAAGGTGCCGCATAAACAGCCGACGGAGGAGGGACCATTTGGGGAGCGTAGCTGATTATTCGAAAGAGGGAAAAAACAAATTCGCATTCATGACAGATATAGATAGCATATTTTGATAATTCTCGCTTGATGTTTTACTTCCGAATGGTGAAATACCTGTGTCTATGTACTGTGGTATTAATATTAGTAGGGTCAAGGTAGAGACAAAGACATAACATGTTGAATCTGCTGGTATGTAATCCTCAATATAATTGTATCCTTTTCGATATTGGACTTACACTGACGGTGGCGGCGTTAGATAAGGTGAAGCTGCTGACGGAACTGGAGGTAGTACGTTTGGTGCAATCGCTACAACAAAATCAGTGTATCTTCATATTATATTGCGTTCAAATAATCGTCTGGGCATTTATGTTGACCGTAATCGATGTTTTACCGACTTGAATTGTTCTTATTCGAGATTAAAATTTGTAACTTTTCGTCGATGAGTAACAATCAAATTTGATCATCTTCGATTCGTTTGAGACTGACATCTCTATAGAATTGTAAATCCAAACCGTTCGTCTGGAGGCATGCCGATATCAATAGATTTAACAACATGCATATGCCAGCTGCTACTCCTCTACCTTTACAAAACAATACAGTTATATTTAAAGTTGGCAAAAGAAGACATTTGTACACACCTTCTAATTGAGTCACACTACGTGATGCTTTTAGACTAATTTTTCTACGGCTTACCAGGAAGTGGGGGCGCAGCGAGCGATGGTGTAGCTCCAGCAGGATTGGCTCCATATGGGGAAGCGGTTACTTTCGAACCTAAAGTCGTCCCTGCGGAGACAAGCGAGGCGCCTGCACACGAAAGTGATGCTGCAGCCGCTGCAGCCTGAGCGGCCGCAATGGCGGCTGCTGTTTGCGCCACCGTTGTTGTGTGGCTAGCTACACCTGCGACCTGATGGTTTGCAGCCCCCGCAGCGACCATCTGCGCGTGACTTCGATGCGGCATGTGACGCGGATCGCGGGAGACGATGGGAACGGGTAATTGTGGCTTTTCCTTTTCCTTGGCCTTGATGTGACGGTGGGCGATATGCGCCTAAAATTATGAAAGTACGTCACATGTCTTATTTTTTGGGCATCAGCCAAGTATACTAATTAGCGGAAAATAAAAAGTCGATCTAGTGCCAGTGAATTCAGGATTTAACAGGCAATTACCTAACAAATGTACTAGTTTCACTATAGCTGTTTCTGAACTACGCGTTAAGTATTTCTGTAGTTTTATGAATGTGGGTCTTGTATTGATCAACTTTCAATCTCGCCTTGCTTTCCCACCTGCAAATCCCTCTGGCTAAGATATGTCCGTTTGCAAGGCTCGCGCGTTTTTCCTTGCTGGTGGGTACACATAAACACTTTACCGAGTGTTGTCTGCTCTACACGGGTTACCTTATCCCCACACTTATAGCAGATTTTTTCGGCTGCTCGTCCACACTCCAGACAGAACACATGCTTGCAAGGAATCTATACGCAGAATGAGAAAAGATAGAGAGCTTTGTCTTAAGCCCACACTCGTAAAATAATATATATAGGTCGCTAAAGCCAACTGAACCACTACATTATTTAACTTTATACATAATAACTGTTTAATAATTGATAAAAGAAATTGCACTCTTACTTGAGAAAATAAAATTGCAAAAACGGATATTGCAGAGCAAACCTACAAAGCGTTGTATTCGCATTTAACTAAGGCGAATGTTATATCCATCGGCTCAGGATGTTATATGCAATATAGAATAATTAAAAAAAAGTTGGTTTATTTCTAATACACTTTGAAAGTTCTATTTCAAATAGCTAGGGTGTCATCTTCAAAACTCTAAGCTGCGTTAACACTCTGAAATTGAGCAGCTATCTTGCTTTCACTCACTCATTGCGTTAAACCAGTTAGAATAATACGATATCACGTTTCATAGGTATGAATTAGCTTCTACCATGCTAAAACACTGAGAAAAGACGCGCTAACGCATAAGAGAAACCTGTTAGACTTATTCTACGCGGTTGATGTGTTCGTTTGCCACACGTTTTAGATCATCAGTTCTAATTTCATCATAACAAATCGTTTCACACGTCATAATTAGACACTGACCATTCGTGCATAGGTGAGGATCGGCAGGTGACATTTATCACAAATGTGTATCATTGGATCCACAACCTTTTCACCGATTAAATTCACCCGATGCTTCCAGCAGAGGCTCTGTTGCTGATGTCGCGGAGACGGTGGGCCCTTGGAGAGTACCGGACTGAAGGAAGCCCCTACGCCGTCCAATGATGAACCGAGAATTGGCGATAACGACGGAGGTTCTGTTGATATTCATATCATATTGTTATATGCCGGTAACAAGAAATAGCCAAAAAGGAGACAGGGTTAAACAAAGTTAAAATTATGATTATCCGCATGAAGACATTCGTAAATTTCGAAATTGACTAGCACTTCATATCTTTTTATTAAGAAAGGGGAAGTGTATTCTTTGTGATATAAACCATGTGAAAGCATGGTTCAAATGTAGACATGGCTGCCAGATGTGCTAAAATTCCAAAACAAAAATTGTTTAGTTTGACGCCAGATTGAAACAGATTATGTTTCATCCTTGGGTATCTTTCTTTTACACTGTGTAACTTCGTCAGATGAATAATTTGGAGAGTCAAGAACATCCCACAGAAAGTGATGTACCATCAAGCCCCTTCATTGGAAATCTTTCTGGTTGTACCCCTGTGCCGCTAGGTGCACAGAGATGGGGATAACTTCGTTCAGTCATTCTACATAAATACATTCCGTAGACTCACCGGGAGGATTGCGGACGTCCATATTAACCTCACCATCGAAAGGGATCTTTGAATCTTTTAATTTACCCTTTTCTTGTCGTGACCGATCTTTACTATCAACCGATGGCGAATTGAGTCCGCCTGACGACCGAACGGGTGCCGCATGTTCATCATTTTCCTCATCAGAAGAAATGATTTTCCGTTTGGCCTTTGACCTGTTTGAGGTCGATGCTTTTTTTCGACTGCTTGTTCCGCCTCCACCTGAACTTCTCGAAGAACGCGAACGAGAGGACGGCCCACGACGTCCGATCGGCTCGTCTGAATCTGAAAAGATTAACGATGGGTGATGGGAAGCGACTTAGATATATGCTCATAATAATAACAATACATGACGGATTCCAATAACGACAGATGATCGATATAAATGCCTAAACTGATCATGTTACAGATGAATTACCATTAAAAAAAACCGCTTAAAACCCAACTATGTGCCTTCGTAATTGCGTAATGGATAATGTATTAATGAAATGTGAAACTTAAGGGTACGTGAGTAGGTAGGGGGTAGGTTCGAATTCAGACCTACCCACATATCGTTTCCTGCTAGAGAGCAGCATTCCGAAATGATGCCTGAAGGCTCAAGTACCGGTAGGAGAACACGAAAAACAGAAACTGGGTATATTGATAGTTTCCGTTTTTTATTAATCCACCTTAACGTTGTCTATACGTTTACAAATTAGTTTCTATTCGCTGATATACCTAGAGATGGAATACGATCGGCTGTTCTCGGCGACCATAAACCAAATTTAACTGCTCTACGTGTTTGGTTCTTCTAAGACTAACTGCTATCTCCGTTCTTATGATGCAGCACTGTATGCCTACGAGATACCATACTAGATTTAAATGTACATCGTATTAAAAACGCGGATTATTAATTTATATAGATATGTAAGGTCATTGTGAATATTAAAATCACTGTCACGATTAAAAAACTGAGTACCTTTCTGTCTTACTGAGACCGACTCAAAAACAATGCGTCTAGTTGATTATCATTTTCTACAGCCAACACTGCTACCACTCTAACTCACATTTAATTGGAGAAAAGCTACAAAATATTGGCACTACAGGTACACCGGGCCAAACACACGGAATAAACACAGCTACCACCGAAATCAATTCTTACACCTACCGTCATCCGTCATCGTGGGTGAACCAAAATAATGTCTAAAGGAGGAAGACTTTTTATGTTTCACCAGGATCCTTGGAAGTTCATGCAAAACCAGCGAAAAAAATCCGCCGTTTTACGTCACTATGTGGTACACAACCGGCAACTTTCCTTTTTTCTTCGATCTTCTTGCGTATTCCTATTATCTTCCTTAAATTTTGTTTATGTTGTTGTTGCTGTTGTTTGACGAATGATTTTGCTGATCGTCTGAGGCGGAAAGAGAGAAAACAAACGCTCCCGGCCTAGAAACACCCTGATTAACTCACATTGTTCCTATTATGATGAAGAAATTACGTATTTGTATACTAAATTTAAGGAATAACGGAGCTGTTCAAGTCCGAAAACAGCGTGAATTTCCTTTCGCGCTGGAAGCCAGCTCTATGAAAAATTTCGAATTGACCCGCTGCCCTCTGCCCTTTTTCGCGTTCGCATTACTCTTGGAGCCGGCAAAATGGCCGCGCTGTTTCGCTCAGGTGATACACGCACGTTGGTTGAACTTTGATTCGTTGTCGCTGATTTTCTCTCAGCCATTATTATAGGCGCTTGAAGCTTTATTGACTTTATCCGGATGATTTGTACATCAGTCAGTGGTCAAGTTTGTCGCACAAATATATCGCGTATCTACCATCGTTTGCACTGATATCGGTTCAGGTAAGAGAATTATTCAGAAATTTTTAATCGTGATACAAACGGTTTTGAATAAGCTGTATTAAGCAGTTGTTCGTTCTCCGCGCGGTTAGTCGTGAGCATCCGACGAAGCTCAGTGTGAGCATGCGTGTCCTTTTTTAAGGTCGTATTGTATTCTCTTCATGATATCTTGATGTCGGGGTCTTTGGGTTTACATCGTAGACATTCTGGAATAATAATGTTATTATATGGCTTTAATGAAATTTTGCGTGTTTACCAATTTGGAGAAATTAAAGAAATCTATTTCATCACTCTGATATTGAGACTGTGGCTGGGCTTATTATCAAACCTTTTTACTGACGCAGATGCGATAGATTCGGCAAGGATGATCAACAAATGAGCACTCGTGCGGAGTATATACGATTATTGTATCGATTTATAATTTAATATACTTCTAATGTAGTGGTTACTGGTATTAGTGTCCTATAGGATATAAGTAAGCCAATCATTATGCAAGATAGTATGTTTCGAAAGCTTGAATGTATCCAATTTGTTTTATCTCAGAGATAAAATAGTACGCTCTTAGTTATTATTCAGGTTACCCAACCAATACATTTCATAGTGCCTATCATAAAATTTCTAAGGTTTCTTTTTTATTTCTTAATGTAACAGCTAGACTTCATAAAGACAGTGCTTTATATTTGACGTATACCGATTGGCTTCGATTTCTGTTTGTTCTCCTGCTCCCTTTCAGATGTCAGTGCGACTTTTTCGACGGATTATCCCGTCCTTGATCAAAGAAGCCACTCGTGGGATGCGCAAAAAAGGCGGTAACAATGAACCAAAACAGTTGAACTCCCTATTTACGCCTGCGCCTATAAAGGTTGCTTCGAATCCTGACGACGTTGACGTGGGTGAAGAGCTAGCTACGAAAATAGAAAAAGCAGACTTGATCCGTATATTCAACCAGTTTCAGAAACGTCCGGAAGTAATACAGTTATCGCAGGATAATGGGTTGGACACGCGATTATTTCAGCAAACATTTATTTCCTTCCGAAAATTTTGTATTGAGTCAAAACCTCTCCAAGCAGACTTGCACATCGTTTGCAGTGATCTGGTACAAGGACATGGTCATATTACGGACCTGTTTCCATATTTTCTACGACACGCTAAGGAGATCTTCCCACACCTTGAATGCATGGAGGAGCTCCAGAAAATATCCGATCTTCGTCTTCCGGCAAACTGGTACCCTGAGGCCAGATCAATAGAGAGAAAGTTTGTCTTTCACGCCGGCCCAACAAACAGTGGCAAAACACACCATGCCATGGAGGCGTTTATCAATGCAGAAAGCGGTGTCTACTGTGGCCCTTTAAAAATGCTTGCTGTTGAAGTTTTCAACAAGACAAATGAAAAGGGAACCCCTTGCGATCTAGTAACAGGAGAGGATCGACAGTATGTTAACAAAGATTCTGTATCGAAGCACATTGCTTGCACTGTCGAGATGGCGTCAACTACAGACATCGTGGATGTGGCAGTCATTGATGAAGTCCAGATGGTGCGAGATTTCCAGAGGGGCTGGGCCTGGACCCGTGCGCTTCTAGGAATTCCAGCCAAAGAAATTCACCTTTGTGGTGAGAAGGCTGCCGTGCATTTAATCCAGGATATCTTAAATTCTTTAGGGGAAGAAGTAGTTGTGAAGGAATATAAGAGGCTAACCGGCTTGAAGGTCCTTGATCAGCCGCTGGGATCGCTAAGTAATCTACAGCCGGGAGATTGTGTTGTATGCTTCAGTAAAGCTGATATCTACAACGTGACGTTCGCCATTGAACAGATGGGCAAAGAGTGCGCTGTCATCTACGGCGCACTGCCGCCTGGAACAAAATCAAGTCAGTGTATGAGATTTAATAACCCAGATGACCCTTGTAAAATTCTTGTTGCCACGGACGCAATTGGCATGGGGCTGAATTTAAGCATTAGACGAATTATCTTCTACAGTCTGACAAAGGTGAGCATGAACGAAAATGGACAAAGGGAAGTCGAGCTTATTTCTGTATCGCAGGCGCTCCAAATCGCTGGTCGTGCCGGACGTTATGGTACAGCGTTCGAGGGCGGTTTAGTTACGACATTTCGCGGCGATGACCTACCCATACTAAAAGATCTGCTGCAACAGAAGCCAAGTCAAATTGAACGTGTGGGTTTGCATCCAACGGCGGATCAGATTGAACTGTTTGCTTATCATCTGCCACATGCTTCATTGTCGAATCTTCTCGATATATTTGTGTCACTCTCCCAGATGGACAGTTCACAGTATTTTATGTGCAACATTGACACCTTTAAATATTTAGCCGATATGATACAGCATGTAGCGCTCCCACTTCGTGCTCGCTATGTATTTTGCTGCGCTCCGATCAATATCCGAATGCCTTTTGTCTGCACGATGTTCCTCAAGTACGCACGGCAGTACTCACGAAATGAGCCAATGACTCGCTTTTGGCTGTGCCGAGAAATCGACTGGCCGATCACTCAGCCGCGCAACATCAATGAACTCGTCCATCTCGAGGCGGTCTTCGATGTGATGGACCTGTATCTGTGGTTTAGCTATCGTTTTCCTGACCTCTTTCCCGAGCAGGACAAGGTGCGGATCATGCAGAAAGAGCTTGATCTGCTAATTCAGCAGGGAGTATTATCCCTAACTAGGCTGCTTCGGCAGTCTCGTATTGAACTCGAAGCGGCTGCAAGCCCAAATGATATTCTAAGTGACGACACTGACGACTATAAAGCTGTAAAGGCTAGTTATGGTGAAAAAAGCTCAATCATGTCGGAGAGAGATATAGTTGAACCGAGTAAAACAGGTATGCCAATCGGAAGTTTAACGGGCCGCCTTCTGGCGGAGGGCCTTATTACTAAAGAACAACTTAGGACACTACAAAAAGAGTGGCAGAATCAGGCACCACTGTCATTTACTACTGGTCGAAGGAAAAAGTGACTAAGCACAATTGTATATTAGTACTCCGGAAGAATTACCTATTATACGTGGGGTCTAATCTATTGGAAGCGCAGGGGTTTAAGGGATAAGAAGATGATGTATCTCATTTTAGAAATGTTTTCGAAGTATGTATTGCATTTGTGTGTTAGTCTTTCGTCAGTCTTTCTACTGTTTAATTTTACCATAAGAAACTGGGAGGGGCGTAAAAAAGGAAAGGGCTAATCGTACAAAATATCTTGTGTAGAACCCAATTTTTGAAGAGAAGCACCTTTTCGAAACTTTTAAGAAAACTATCTAAACTATACCTACTACAGCTATTGTTAACGACGTGGCAATGGAAGTGGGTGAAAAACAAGTGAGCACTAGATATATTAGTTAGCGGCGTAGAAGAGTAGAAACACATTGCTTAGAACAGTGGAAACACATTTTTGTTAGCGAATAAATATTTTCTATTATATTATATTATTACTTAACGTGTTTTGATGTTCGTTTCTTTTTCATATTAGTCATAGTGAAATCATAGCTTTCAGCAGTTGTGGCAGGAATTCAATTTCAAGCATGATGAGTCTGCATATATTCCAGTCAGGTTACAAAGGCAGCGATATAGAATTTCATTGGTATTTTGTTTTACTTCTAACCTCAAAGCTGCTGAAATTTGTTTGAGTTAGAGCCAGTTTCAACAACATCGTAAAACTTTCAGACTTACTAGAACTGTAACCGAAGAGGACCTGTAAACTATAGGCCAGATCTAGGTGCATTGGCAAAAGTTGGAACTACTCGAAACAACGCTTTCTATACCAACAATGCAGCAGCGTAATGCTATTACAAAGAGTTCAACCTAGTTTGATTGTTGTATTCCCATTATGCAATTCCCGCACCTTATATATAGTGTATATTTAATTTACACGATAATCATGATGGGTGCGGCGCAACCCATTGTACCATAGAAATGTTTACAGATGTTTATAAAACCAATAAGCATTTTATTATTTACGAGCAGATCACCTATCAACGATCTAGGATCAACATAAATCTGATAAGGACATTTTCTTAATTTAATTATTATAATTATCTTACATATTTATTCTGTTTTTCCCCATTTTTACGACACTCTTGTACATACACACGCGCGTTACCTACGATAAGCCCATAAATTTCCATAACGTCGTTCTCCAAACACCCAGGAAAAGTGAAGCCCGCATTTCGTCTATGTCTAAACCACGCTTTGAACTGCAAAAAGTCACTTGATCAAACGCGAGTTTTGCATGGCTTGTCAGTAACGCCGTGACCAATAGCTTGCAGCAGGATGTCATCCATTCTTACTCAAGCAAAGATGCGCCATGCATTACACGGCTTTATATGATGTATTTTTTGTTTTTTTTTCTTTAAATAAGTTTGCATACGCCGTTCATCTTTGTCTTTCTTTGAGGATACTGTTTGTTGCTACTGCAGCTTGCTTGTTTGCTATTGTGTAGAGAAATAGGGTGCGCTCTTCTGATCGAGCAAAGTGTGACAGACTGCGCACACATTAAAGCTGCGTCGATTCGGTCCGGACTGAATTGTTTTTGAGACGCATGCCGGACAATAAATGCGTCCACAATGGCTACAATTCGGCTTTTTGCTACCCGACAGTGGTTTTTTACAGCCATTGCATTCAGTCACATCATCGGCATGCTGGAAACGCACTTCACCATCGCTCACTCTCAACTTCTCTAGCTCAACCTGAAGACTCTGGGATAGCTTAACAAAATCCTTCTGCACAGCCTCGGAATTGTCGAGGTCTTTTTGAAGCGCGACCACTTTGCGCCGCAACTCATGACTCTCTTTCTCAAACTTGTTCTTCAGCGGTTCGACCAACTCGAGCTCACTGACTCGAGCTTTCGTCGCAATCAGCTCCTTCTCGCAACTGCGGAGCTGGGCCAACTCGGCGTTCAACCGTCTCAAATCGATATTTACAGCGTCCTCGTAACCCTTTCGTTCCTCTTGAACTAATCGCTGCTCTTCTTTAAGAAGTGCGACCTCTGAGTGTAGCTTTTCATCAGCGTTCTGCCAGCTAACAGTCGATTCGATCATCTTTTCATGCAGTTTGAGATACTCGAATTCTAGGTTCTGCATGGCGGCCGCTAACGCCGGGTCGTGCTCCACCATGCGGGCCGTTTTCTCGAACACATCCGGGAGCTTAACCCCCTCCGTGGCCAGTCGCTGCTCCATCTTGGAGCAGTGTCTCGCTAGTAACCGATCATTGTCCTCTGTTAACTGGCGATTCTGCGACTCCACTTCCTTTAATTGATTCAGCAACTTGTCAAGCTCCGCGCGCAGTGCACTATCCGATCCTGACAGTTGTACCGACAGATTTGCAAGAAGTGACTCATTGGCTTCGATCTTAGCGGCGAGACTCCGCGTTTCATTTTTTGCCTCCGAGATCTGTCGATTTAGTTCTTCTTTTTCACGTTTCTCTCTTTCATTTCGAGTATCACAGTCGGCGCGAGTTCTATCCAGCTCGCCTGTAAGTGTCATTATTCTCGTTTTGTATTCCTCGATCTCCTCCTCCATCGGCTTAACGACGGAACGAAGTAATACGGTTTGCTTCTGTGCGTTGCGCATGCTCTCGTCGAGATCGAGCCCTGATGGGCCTATGAATTCCTCAATCTGTTTGGTTAATGCAAAGTTTTTTTCTTGTTCCGCTTTCAGTTCGTCCTCTTTGGCTACAAACATCTGCATAAGAGCTGCCCGCTGCACGTCGAACTCGGCAGCCATCCTCGACCGTAGGGTTTCTAATGTTTCGCCATCGATGGCTTCGACGTTGTCAGGTCCTTCGGCACAGTAAGTTATATCGTCCTGCAGCGAAATGCCACTTCCATCGGCCTCACCCCTCGACTCCATGGTGGAACGTTCAATACCGCCTCGTTTTCTATTGGGCTATGCACGCTGTAAGGCCAAACCTGAGAAAAATTCAGGAAAAGAAGTCAAGTGTTAGAAAAGGGGAAAAAATCCCGTATAGTTGCTGAAATATGGCTAACGATTCGACCCATATTTTGCGAGCTAGAACTTGGTTGGCGTCGTTTCGATATTTCAACAAAATGCACATGTCCTCGTATACAGATATACAAGGGACTTAATTTAGGATGTCTATTATTGTCCTAACGCGTATATATGTCTAGTTAATAACAATTTGTTAAAAGTTGTATTTTTAACTCAGGGCAACAAACGATGAACTGCAAGCTGTGATGAGAATGAAGGTCCAATTATGTTTAGTGTATCCTTACCTTCTTTGTATATATATATATATATATATATATATATATATATATATATATATATATAGAGCGCCCACGTTCTGTATCGAACAGGCTTATAGCACTAAATTTGCTGTATTCGAACGATATGGCGATAGCTTGTAGCATAAGAATACAGCATAACTCATAGTAAAACTGAGGAAATTCAGTTGTGCGTCGTAACATTAAGTAGTTTATACTGTATAATAGCTTATAGATCAAATTATCATTAGCACCCAAAATAACCAAGGCTACCCTTGTGTTTACCTACTAATGATAATAGTGTTTCAAGATATTGCGTTATTCTATATTTTGTTTGCTGTTGACATCAAAAAGGGCTAATACGATTTTCCGGGTGATCAACTTTTTAAAACTATGGCGCATACGGTTTATGAAAAACCCGATCCATGTCTCTTAAATAGCGACAGGCTCCACGGCAAATTCTTGAATTTCCCTTTGGATTGTTTTGCCCCCAAGACCTCTATTCCCTCGTAGTAACATCAATAGAATGAGGTTAAATGCAAGCAGTCGGCGTAGTGAGATATGAGGCGATAGAGTGACTCGTTAAGTTGGCGAAACAACCCAGCAATTTTACGGCCTTTGATTTGTTTAACGAGTCCGATTATGAGTTTACGAGATGGAAAAGATTACAGTCGCCTTCTTTTTAGCACTCAGAACAACGTTCTGCAAGCACAGCAACAACCAAGCATTTAATGCCCATTATCCAGTCTATGTAAATTGAGCGTATTGTGATCATTAACGCATTGCGTGTGAAAAAGTAATTTCTATATATGTATCTTTTGCAGGAGTGATAGAAATCATACTCTGACATAATACATATTGATCATGCGAAGAATGAGCGGTTTAGAAAATATCCTGTGACCGAAGTGAACGTTCCTTCTTGATGAAATGAAAAAATGAAATGTTAGTGATATGCGACAAAAAGCACCCACATATTCCGCACGCGAGACATAGATCAGTATTTAAAACTCGCACATATTGCAAAATCCAACTCGCATATGTAACGGCGCGAAGAGTCGTCAACTACTTTGACGTTAAGAACAGCCTAAGACCATTGTCCTCAATAGAAATCAAATACAGCTCTACTTGTAAGATATACTGCTGCAAAGATATTATGATATAGCTAGAGTTGGATGTATATGCACTGCCTGAAACTACAAGAAAAATATATAAAATGAACCCACACTCGATTCAGCATGCACTATGTAACACCTCAAACATGTTAATAACGACCTGGAAGTTACAAGGCATCCGCTTCTTCTTTCAGTTTTGCCTTTCACGAGTACCGAGTAGGCCATTTTATCATTCTTTCCAAAAAAGGATTTAGGTATTATATTTGACCTGCTCGTTTGCATGTATATTATAGCTTTTGTTCCTTGAGGAACGCCTGACAGATTTATTACAGGCAACTCTCCCATTCGGTCCTACCTAAAGTGGATACTGCTCTATAGGTGCTAACAAGTGAATGGCACGCATCTGTCATAGAAACGTTTTTAGAGAAGAATTTGCCTCTCTTTGCTATATATATATATGTTTATCTCAACAACGAGCGATTGGCTTCACTATGATTGTAGACTACTGAGCGCCACTACTTCAACTTCACTACTATTACACAATTACCCTAAAGCTTTATGGTACACCTAAGCTTAAAAGAACGGGGAACCAGCAGCGCCTATTGCAGTAACACAATTCACTATGTTAGCTAACACGGTAGGAAAGCATAGAATTTGTGTTGTAACTTATATTATTGCAATATTTCTTAATCCTTTCTTACCTGTCAGCTGGTTGTGAACGTCCGAGTTACATCACTGTCGATTCTTTATCCAGTGTATCAGAATGATGATTGAACCTTTCGTTTTATAATCGATGTAACTGTATAGTTTCGTTCTTTTCGATCGTTCACGATTTTCCGTTCACAGTAGAACACTTTTGGTTCACCGTTCACTGTATGTGTGGAGTAGTGTAAATTAGAGATCACCTGTTTCCACTCCACTCTACGCAATACGCCATTCCCACATATACGAGATCACAGCACGACCAGGTCGTCCCTATGAAGCGGGCGAACAGATGTACAGGCAACAGTGAACCTGACCGGATTTAAGCAACTAGCACGCAGGGCTTTACTACAAAACACCAGAGTTGTTTTCCGCTCTCGTTATTATGTACGATTAACGCACGCGGCGCATACGATGCAGCCACACACACATGTATACTGTTACGGCACAGTGTTTTCTAATTAACCTAGAGAGAGACCGTGGTAACTGTACAGTCACCTACAACAAAAGAAGGCTGCGGGCTCTGCAAATCAAATAGCCTTGTATTTTGCTGGTGTTTCAGTTACAGGCACACACACACATACACGCACACAGCCAGGCCCGGAGTTCGATGACAGGCAAAAACCGTCGTTGTCGTTCGAGTTATCCAGCGGCGGTAAATCTGCCACCGCTGCCTATATTGCTGCGGTCATGGTCGGCGAGTGTCAAGGGTAGTTTACAAGCACAGGGATCTAGTGTTCACAGTAACCAATGGTCCCAGGAAGGAACGTCAGAACAGAGCCGATCCTTGCTACCGTTTGTTTACATGACACTTCGCTTGGATGAACGCATCGTCGACAGACCACCTCTCCTTTCTTTGTCCGGTGGCAGTATTGGTGGCGACAATGAATTGGGCACATCTCATAGTTGTCCGTCATCGCTCGATCGCTTACACGGTATGGAGCACTCGCCTGCAGGGAGCTCCACGAGCATCGCGAAAGCAGACGACGTAGGGGCGGCAGAAACGAATGTGCAGTGAAAAATAGACATGAGCCGAAACGCACAGACGAAAAAATTCTAACAGCAGGTAGTCGATGGAAGAATGACCGAATGATGGTCCATTGCAACGATTAAGGCGCGTCGACAAATCGGTGCGGACAGTGCGGTTGATACAGTGAATAGATTCAGTAGAACTCTAACATTTTTATTGTGTGTTGTGTTGCCCATGTTAGTATGTTATGAACGTATGACTAGGCGAGGGAAGAAGGCATGTTAGGTGCGGGAAACTGAGCGTACGTTGTAAAATTTTTGCTGCTAGTATTAGAAAAGAACGCTTTATTGTTTTTCCCTATTTGCAATAAACAGGAAAAAAAAAACACCGAGTGTGTGCCTTGGCTAAGGAGGGCAATAACGGACTCTTGCCGATCGTGAAAACCGTCAGCAGAGTCTATTCGCTCGGGTAGCTGTATTCATTCTGATACTAAATTTCACAAAAAACTTGCTAGTAAATCGAAAAGAAAAGTAGAATCAGAATGTGTGAACATGGGTGTTCAGGAACGTGTTCTACATCATTACATACCTATAGAGCTCATTGCCTCTAAAACTGTCGACAAAGAACATTTTTAGCGTTTGCATTAAGTCTAGGATTTGTGTGAATATGGGTTAGAAATCGAGTGATTAAAAAAGAACGGAGAAAAAAAGCTCCGAGGGCTTTATACTGATTTTTAATTCGTTGTTGAATAACCTCATGGACATTTCAATCTTTGTACGTAAATGTGACAAAATATTTATGAGATTATTAGGTTACCACCTAACCGCTAGCTAAAACAGCGGATTCTCAAATTTGAGTGCCGCCAACGGCACGTAAATACTATAGACAAGCTGTATTAAGCAAAATTAACATATAACAAGAGTAATTTTAGAGTATAATCTTTGAGGCAAGACTATTAAGATTTGTACATTTTGAACTAAAGCTCTTGCTCCTATTGAATATTAAAAATATTTGCGTTAAACACAGCAGGAATATTAGATAGTAATGTTTCATTAATGTTTACGTTAAAACAATAACTCTATCTTTCTGGAGCTTATAGCATTAACTTTTTCTTTTATTTTTTTTTGCTGAAAATTTTATTCACGAAAGATAATTTATATTTTTTTGTAATATTATCCTATTTTCATTATTCACGTCCCGACAACTCTATAGGTTTATAGTAAATGTATGAATTTTCTGACCTAACAGAAAACTGTCTAAATAGGAATATCGCTCTTTGTTTAATTCTCTTATACCTATTCAGGTTTACTTTGAAGTTGTTCCACAGGCAAGTGACGCACTCACCGAGTTCTGAGCAGATTCACCATTGATGCAAGAGAGATTTAACTGATGCGCGCTAGTCGTCTGTGAGTGCCAAGCTGATATAGTGAAGACAGCCCCTTTGGCGCTGTATGAGAATGGCAGGAGGCCCGGGCGACGTTTTGTCGCAAGACAATTCAATTTTTAAAAACCTTCAAAGCATCGTACAACTGATTTCTGACCTGCAGCGGTTGTACGAAGATAAAGACTCAGCCGACATCGAATTTGTTGTAGGGAAGGAAGAAACGCGAGTGTTAGCGCACAGTCTTATTGTTAAAACAAGGTACGTCAAGATTCTGAACATATTTTCATGGGAACGCAATTTGTAATAATAATAATCGTCTGTGCTGTATCACGTCGGACCACCTTCTATTCCATTGATATGAGTGTTCACTGGTTTTGCGCTTTTTGCTTTTGAATGATATCTTTATATGAAAGAGCAAAAAGTTATGTGGTGTATAAACCAAGGTATATGTGTCATCCATTTGTACACGCTTCTCGCCGTTTTCGTTTGGCTATCATAACTCTCATAAGGAATTATTTGTGATCTTGTATGTGTGACTATTTACCGAAAACAGGTGCAGTAATTACAATGAATTGAAACTAGCCTACGGTCAGCGATCGATGCCAGGCAAGCTGTTGGTGCTCCAGATAGCTGATGTCAACGTCGAAGAATTTAACTCGGTCGTTCAGTATATTTATACAGGTAGAATTAATCTGAACGCTGCTGTAGTCTTTAAGGTGCTCGCCCTAGCCCTTGAGTTTGGCATCTCGGAACTGAAACTTACCTGCGAAGATCATATCATGAATACAATGAAGGAAAATGCCTGTGTATTCCTGAGTTCAGCTTTCGAAGGTCGTAATGACCGGCGTGAAGCGTTTAGAGAGGAAGCGGCCGTCTTTGTCGACAAGTGTACGACACACATTTGTGAGCACGCAGCGGACTGCGTCAAGTCGTCGGCGTTTTTACGGCTAAGCAAAGAGTGCGTCATTCATCTTGTGTCATCCGACTACTTGGGTATGAAGGAAGATGATGTTTGGCGCGCTGTTCTCGCGTGGGCCAAGCACCAGGCCAATGTTACTAGCAGCCCGCACAGTTGGACAGATGGAGAACGCCAACTCGTTGGACAGGCGCTCAGGGATGTCATTAATCATGTTCGAATTTTACTGATTGACAAACAGGTGTATGCTGAAGAAGTCGAGCCTACCGGACTAGTTCCCCTTGAGCTTTCACTTCAACGGTATCGGTACGCCGCTCTACCTGACACGTTTCAGCCAAAGGAACCCCATCTCACGCCACGAGCGCCTGCACCGTTTTTCAAAGACTCCAATCTATTGACAGGCAAGAACCTCGCGTTTCAACAATTGCTGAACAACTGGTTCGGAAAACCAAGCCAAATGTGGCGACGGCTCTATCTCGCTTCGGCCAACAGCTATTCGGCTGCTTCATTTCATGAGTGTTGTGATGGAATTGCACCACTTTTTGTACTTGTGCTTGGATCGTCCGGTCAGCTCTGTGGTGGTTTCACTGATGTACCTTTCGTGAGAACGAATGGAGGCCGAGCAAAATATTCGACAACGGATCGGGCTTTTCTCTTCTCGCTGATCAACTTGATTAAGAGACCGGCGACCAGATTCAACATCATTAAGAAAATGTTTGCCATCGCTTCTCATCCCGAGTTTGGACCGATTTTTGGGGCAGGCGCCGATCTCAGTATTGCCAATAACTGCAATGTTAGTATGGAATGTTACTCAAATCTTCCACACACCTATGATGGCGAAGGGGCCAGCTCCACTCTACTTATGGGAGGTTATAACTTTACGGTGGCAGATTATGAAGTGTTTACTGTGTCATAGTTTCGATCAACTTACGCATTATTGGCATACCTAGTAAATAGTATCGAACTTCCTTTGGTGTTTAGAACGTACACATAATAGCTGTACTGAGCTTAGAGGAGTCTTTCACTTTCAAATGTGGTCTACAGGCCAATTAAATCTATGTATTTTGGGAATAAATTAGCCAAAAACGTCCGAACAACGATACACCCCTAAGTATCGATTACTTTACACGTTAGGTGGAGTTTGATAAGGGCGGCGCTGTGCATGGTGGCTTTGAATATCAAGCTGATATCATGACGATGCATATGCAGAACTTAACTATGCCTTGTAAATACCTGTGTCTTCCGCGATGATGTCATTAAAATAATATCGAAGATAATATCTGTTATCATGAATGTGATTAAGCACAGAGAGCCGTACCGAATTGACGCACGCACAAAATTTGGATACAATAGCATGCTCCACTTCCCAAAAAGGAAAACGGAATCTTATCAAGGCATTGTTTCTAACATAGATAACGCTGGTTATGTGAAGCCAATCAATTTGGTAAAAAATCTTTGTTTTAAGAACTTATGCGCCACGTAGGCAGAACGATTTGATCAAAGATGACTCCACTTAAGGTTTCATAATCTGTACATAGAAAATGTAGCTTTTAACGACACGTTAGATGACACATATCGAGCAAGGCCAGCGATTTCTACGTATAAAAAAGGGGTCAAAGTATGTTTACTCTGAAATAAGACGTAAGAATGTGCTTATGAAAATATAACTAATTAGATGCTGCTAACTTCGAACCTTTTGTTATTCTGACTATAGACTAAATACAAGTTCGTCGTTTTTTTTTCTCGTATATCTCTCCCTAACTTTTTGAAGCAATTTTCTACAGATTGTTATCGACTCCTGACGTACTTGTAGCCGTGAGAAGTAAACATTGCCATAGTTTTCACGGTTTTAAAAATGAGTAGAAGCCCTTTGTATTCATAGCAAAACGCACGTTAAGATCAGATTTTTTTAATTGCGAATGAAGGCTTTATCGTCCACCAGCTGATCTCAGCCATTATTGTTATTAATTGTATATTCATTAACATGAATCCCTTACACATAAATATGTATAAGTCTTCATCAAGTAACTATATGTACTATATTATACCGTAATAAAAATTTCCTTTTTAGGGTAACACTATCATTTCTACATTTCATATTTTGTATTACTTATTAGAGTTATAAAAAGTAATAAGATGGACTTGTCGTTGCTATCATATAATGAGAGTAACGACAAATCCATATAACACCTTAAGACATCGATATGGACTTCTATACACTATTGTTCATGTAGCGCACAAGTCACGACTATCGCTATAATAAAAGTAATGCGTACATAAAATACATTCGTACAAATTCTGTAGTTTTTATTTTCAGAAAAAAATTCTCTCGGAATATATTTTTTTTTCTTTTTTTCGGGGAACTTGTTCACTGTATTAATGGCCGGAACTGCGGTCAGGTGCTCAATAAACTGATCTTGCATGCGACGACCATTTTCTTCATTGTCATGCCTAAAACAGATGAATGCAATATATAAAAATCTATTCTATCTCGTTTGAGAAGCAGTTTGGCCTTCGATTGGTCAGCTAATCGAATCTTAATGATAGTTGATAAGTTACTTATTAATTACATTGAATACTCACATATTTTGATAAATAGAATCGTTCGGGTCATCTAAATAACCACTCCAAAATATAAGATAATAATACTAATAATAATATCGGCTCCACATTGCCCATAGGCACTGTTTGCGTTCGTATTATACTACCTTATAATATTTCGATGCCGTCGTGTTTAATGGAATTGTTTATGTTTACGTATGTCATGAAATATGCCTAGAATACTAATTGAAAGTAATCATAAATAAACTCAGTCATAAGTAAAAGTGCGTTTATGGTTCAATATTTTTTGCTTTACAATAGACGAGCCATATCGCACCTTTTTTTTTTTATAAACGTTAACTTTCGATGCGAACACTTATGTGATTGGCTTGTAGATTTGGTACGTAATTGATGCAGCACTGGTCATTGCTGTGGTAGAAGTACCTAGGTATTTCTACATCGACTGTTTCTTTTGGAAAATGTTTGTCTGACTCGGATCGCTTTTATAGGTTCTTTCATATATCTGTTCTGAGGGCTGGGTCGCTACAAATGGTTCTGAGAGACGCCGTTTTGTCCAAAGTGAGTTCATGATGAAGAATGCCTTGGTTTCTTTGGCCACTCACACGCAGTTTACATCACACGTCCGCTTTAGAACTACAGCTTCCCTATTACACTACACCTTCAAGAACACTTTCGTCCATACGCAGCATGCGTAGGTATACAAGACAACAGGTTAAAAACGGTAATACTAGCACTAATCGGAGCCGTAGCAGCAGCGCCAGCTTTAATATTCGGCCTAGTAACAACAATGGCATTTTCCACATTTAACAATGCTACTTGACAGAAGAACAGATAGAGGTTTAAACCGTTTTTGTTGTTGCACCCACGCTTTCTACTTGTTTTTGTCTTCAGAGGTATTAGGGTGATACTTCCAAAGCTAGAAAAAGTAGCTGCCAGTCATGAATCTTTTACGTAATACTATTTGTTCTGTTCTCGTGCATACATATAGAAAAAATTAATCGGGTCATCTACTAAACAGCCATTCCAAACAAATGTGTGCACTTTTTGAGACATTACTTTTACTGATTTCGTAGAGTTAGTCATTCTACTATGCAGCATGAGCTGTCCACGGCTGGTAATAGCTAAGTGATGTCGAACCCTTGGTTCGCTTTGGTGAATCATTTTCGATGGGGTTTTTTCTGCTTCGTTTCGGTCAGCTCTCGGTAACACCAGACTCTAGTTCTGCATAACCCAGGTCAAAATTTTTCTGCTTGCTAACATACTACCGTATACCTATTCTATTGGTTTGTGTATCTGCGGTGACTGCCTCATCTACTGTTTGTTATATTACTAGACGAATTTGTGTACACTCGACATTAAGTATTTAACAGTTGACACTTAGTTTAAGCATTTGCCCAGTTCGTGTATATATAGGACAGTTAATTTTTTGTAGAGTGAGCGCGGTTTCCGTAACACATCACTGCTAGTACCGCCAGCATCATTTATGTATACACACATGTAAAGTCCTTTCTCGGTTGAGGTATTCAAGTTCATTCACGCCCCGAGGTTCCATTCGCAAAAACTCCATCTCGTCAAGATGCCTGCGTCCCATTGCAGGCAGCCTTGTATCAGGTAGAGGAGAGGAAGCGCGACATCTCTCCATTCTCGCGTATCAAGGTTATTCAGGTTTTTCCGATTCCGCTCGTTTCCGCTTTCTACGTATTCTCAAAAGTGGTATAGCCGCCTGGCTAACGCCAGCAACGGCAGCTGTAAAAGTATCGGAAGTAGCAACCCCACTGGTGGCATGGTCGACGGTGTTTCTTCGCTGTCTCGTTGTGGTGTCGTGACGGTGGAGCGTCTGCCCGCGAGCTTCAACACCGGCCCCACTTACTTCTCGCTCATCAACTCCGCTTCGAGCACTGTCCAGTCGTTCGAGTAGAAGGATGCGTTTGCTCACAACGCGATTGTACAGACGCGTTGTCTTAATCCGCAAATACCTATTTCATCATGATCATAATAGCGTGTTCAAAAATTTGTTAGTAGGATTAAGAAATATTATCTTCGCAAGGGAGTTGGTGGTGTCGCAAGGTGACGTATATTTAAATACACTTTTCAGATTTTTCATATATCTGTACGTTTTGCACTAAAAGATGTATATAGTCGTTTGCATACTGTTAATAGCTCGAGGTAAAAATTCGTTCATGACCGCCACTGCCTACCTAACCATCGAGCGTGGAGTGACGAACTCGTTCGGGACAATGCCGTCGACGCCACTCTCAAAGAAATAGAACAGCGGGAACCAGATTCTTGTGCGCTTAGAATCCATTTGCATTAGGGCGCGATTGTTTGCCAACGTATGATAATACAAAAATAGTCTTGTGGAAATGTAGAATGCAACGAACACGTCGATCGAGTAATGTTCGTGGGCAGCGAGAATGAAGAAAATCCCAAACAGATTCACCACCCACGAAAGCGTGTGCAGATAGTAATAACTTCGCGGCGAGTATTCGGTCACGAAGAAATTGAGCAAAGTGAGCACTGTAGTATGACCAGAGAACATATAGTCACCACACGTGCGAACGCCCTGAATCAGCATACCACCGCCCTACGGAGTGGAATGGAAGCAAACACAGAAATGATAACGACAGAGTGACATAGATTTCGCACACACACGCATACTTAATGAAAACACAAGTGCCAGATGACATGCTTGTCTTTTATGATTGTCAGCAGTTAAATTTGTTTGTTTGAGCGAATTGGTGTGAAATGGGTCGCATCTATCGTTGTGATCGACTGATTTGCTGCCAGTAATTGGACTTTGCCTTTTTCGTAATCAGTAGCTACAAAATTATAGAAATTCTATTGGATGCGTTAAACTATTCCTGTCGATGTTGGTTACCTGCCAAATTTGAAATGCCTGCTGAAGTTTCTGCCACACGTCCCCAGGCTGACGGGCTCGACACTCTAGATGTTTCCCTGGCACCGACAGTGATGTGATGAGCATCGTCACGCATCTGTGACCACCGCAAATGATAGAAAACAAACGCAATCCAAAAAGCCTGTAACGCTATAGTACAGCTCATTAAAAAATAATTAGTTTGTTGCGGTGGTTTAAAAAATCAGAAGGCTTGCTCAGGCATAAATTATCACTTCACCAAACGCAATTTGCTCGCCTCGTGTCTGCTTTTCGTTACAGGGTCAAATTGCAGATTAAACCCTTATACTCAGCATTACGATCAGTAACAATTATAATAATAACTATTATCATTAGTACTATTACATACTCATACTACGGAACGACTATGGACAGCACGCTACTGGGTACGTGGTTGTGCCCTATTCTGTATAATCCCTCGACTGATTTGTGTCATTTCACAGATTAGTAAGTTTTTTAACTAGTCGCCGCTGTTTAAGCGTAACCTGCCTTATAAAAACTTACCTTAACAGAAATACGGATCCGAATAGGGAAAATTGGCGTCGCAACAGGATAAACCTGTGCCGATGGAAGACAAGAATACCAACCCAGATAACAAACAAAAGAACGCCGGCTAGTTCGCACATGGCGAACGCCCATGGAATGTGGGGTACGTTATCGAGAAAAATATCGGGCAATGGGGGATAAGTCTCCATTGAAGGGACCCGATCGTGAACGACAACCATGATCAATGACGTAAGCGCAGTCACCGCAAAAAAATACACCATCGCCACGACCGTTTTCCAGATCTCCGGTTTAAATCTGTAAGAAAACCACCATGCACTTTTCTGAATTAGAAATCACGATACATTTTCGAAACAGGATGAACATAAAATAACTGGCACTGGTAATTACTATAATAATTAGCATCAGTTCCATAAGAATCGAAATAATCATTTTCGTCGTTCTGGATTCGGTTCCGTGTTTAATTATATCACATGCATTTAATAGACATGAAACAAAGCAAGATGGTTTATAGCGATCTTTAGCTTCAATGATGATAAATTTATTGCTAGGCTATTCTGTTACACAATAGTTAGACTTATTTTGTAGTGTTTTCGGCTGTTATTATTCGTTTTTCTATAAAAGTGTAAAGCACGTTCGGCCAAAAACAATTTCAGTTATCTCAAATTAATACTTACTCAATTTCTGGTTTTTCTCTTGCAAGGTACGCGAGACTCTCGTGTCTGGTCGTGTTGCTTGATTTAAAGCGGAGAGATTGCTCTTAAGAGAAATATCAAAACAATAAACCAAAAATTGTGCTAGAGATCAAAACTATCCATAACTAAAGCCGCTGTAGGTCACTAAAGCGAATACGATACACGAGTACTGCTTCGCTTACGTAGTTCTTCTGATTTCAATGAAAGGTGAGCCCAGTTTGCGCTGGCATAAAGGAAAACACAATGGCAATGTGCATAAAATACTTAAAGAGCTAACGGATTCTGACAACGATCGAAGGTTCGCGTTCGTCACAGCTTGCCCTGGACTAACATCAACAAACACAGCTTCATGCTTCTAATTTAGCGGAGACAGCTATCTCCTTTTATTTAGAGCTTTCCGTTGAGTATTGCTGGTTAATCGACCTATAAAAGCGCTTATGCATCACAATCGTCGGTAAAGTACAGTATGGTCGGAAGACTGCGGCGCCAGCTAAAGAGACCTATGACTGATTTTTAAGCTTTCAACGATTTGCTACGACTTACACGATATTTGTCTATTGTAAAGCACATATTAGGAGGAATAATGTTCGTTAGCCAGCACAAGCATGTGGAATTAGATGTTCCCTATTACTGAGACCTGCTTCTCAAATTTTTTATTCCTACACAATTTTTGGGTTCGTTACTGGCATGCTCTTATTAAGAACTTCTGATCATTGAATTTTCGCTTTAACAGAGCATTCGAGCACACAACAACATATCTGTCGCCTATCCAGTTTGAGGTAAGCCGAAGCGCTACGTTACGATAAATATCGATGTGGTGTTCGGTGGCGCTCCTCGGAAAACCCACCCAGACTACGTCTGTTACCGATTTCGATGCAGTAAGCGGAACCAACGCTAGAAACATGGATCCTACCGCAGTAAGACGCATTCCAAAGCTCAATTATGGGCACATCATTTTAAGGTCTCTCCCAGACTGATCGTCTAAGCGCCTTCTTTTATTGAAGCTATTGGGCTTTTCCAAAACGCTTTAAGCATCGACTAAAACATTGATTTATCTTCTAAAAAGCTATGTTCTGTACTATTCGAGGTAACGATATTTCTATTCGTCATTTTCCGCGGCATTTACTGAGTAATTGTCTCAACTGAGAGCACGACTAAGTTCGTGCAAAAAATTCACCATTTCAAACCTGTCGTAATTAATCCCCTTGTTGTCTATTCGATTTGCAACGCAAAAAGCACTATTTTTTTTTAATGGGGCTCAAATCCGAAATAGCTTTCAAATTATCTAAAATGTTGAGCCAAGTTCCACAATGGGTGTAGCTCACAGACACTGTGATGCTAAACATATTCTAGTTATCAATGGTGAGAAAAAAGCCCACCATTTCCGAAAGTAATAACATTACCACGTAACCGCCCGCCGAACTCATGATTAAGGGGAGTTCAAAGTTTATTTCGAAAAAAAAGCAGAGGCGTTATGTTAGTTCTATCTTCTAAGTTTTGTTCTTTGTTCCATTGTAGATTTTTAATGCTAATGTTATTGATAAAATACATATTACGCGAGCGGTGGTGCTATAGAATCCTAATCATCGATGTATCTTTATATACTTATATATTTATACTTATATTATACATATATTATTATACGTTCTATATTGCTATCTATGCGCATTTTCTGTCGTTCATTGCCAATACAGTATTAGTTCATTTTAAACCAAAGGATGATCATAGCAATAATTTGAAGATGGTCAGCGGCAGGATTACAATTATTTTCGTGATTCAGAACAAGATCAATCCTTTCTGTGATAGTGGCCATGTAGAACGTTAAATCCACTTTATTTTCTTTAAATTAAAAAAAAAATTTTAAATAATTTATTAACTTATGTTTTCATTGTTCACACAGCGATTAATGCACTTACCTCTTTCGGGAGTTCTCATTGAGAGGTGTCGTTTCGTCATCATTCTCAAACGAGAATATCGACGTCGTGTCACTGCGATCACTCCTGTCGGCCTCCTCATCTTCATTATTGATAATGCGGGCTTGTCCGGCTTCTGATTCGTTGTCAGAATCGTCTGATAAACCGATTATTATACGATCCGCACCACGGCGCATACGAATTGCCCGATATGAACCCAATGTATGCCTATACAAAGAGTAACATATGCGAAGCAGAGGTAAAGAAAAATTGACGTTGAAATTCAACTATAAGAAATGTCGTCCAAAAGGTGATCCCTTCTGCGCCGATATGGGTGTTTAAAAGCACGAGTTACATCCATCTGGTTATAGGAAATCTTACGACCCCAAGACTATTGAAGACTATAGAGGGTACTGGCAAACGGTCGAATTCACTGAGCTCACACGGATCGATCTACAAGATCGTGTTTAACAGGTGGCTTATGGTAATAGCCAAGGTTTTCAATATTCTAGAGCGTCAAAAAGATAATACCACATAAACCAGCTAAATCATTCAACTTCAGCTCAATTAAAACCAAAATAAGCTGCTCAATCAAAATAGGTGTTATCTTAATAGTAAAATTTCTCATAACAGTTGAATCAGCTGAAAATTTATTACGTATTTACCTGTGAGCGACTTCTACTGGGGAGTAAACGGGACACGATGCGCAAGTACTTTTAAGTTCCCTGATATGTCGCGCAAGTATCTTAATATCGCCTAGACACGGCAGGCTCATTGGGGGTGACCGAAGATCCGCTTCTCGCAGCTGTAGCAGAGCCTGACCCGAGATCTTATGCTTCCTGAAGCTTCTTTCTACATCAGGAACCCCAATAGATGTAAGCCAATCGCAGACCTGTTGTGTTATATAATGGATATACCAAAACAATTTGTTGTCTACCATTTTTTGAATCATCCTTATTCCTTCTTTTTTATTTCATTCATCGTTTTTACTTGAACTATTTGTATTTGATTAAACAGGCATAATTGGAGGTGACAAAAACTAAGATTAATCATTGTATTGCAAAAATACCAAAAACTGCAAAAGTTTTTTTTATTATCGTGATTTACGTGCGGTCTCTTCGATTGAAATTAAATAGATTCTAATTCGGTAGAAAGCTTATAAATCCATACGGCCGCACTCACTCCGTCGCACTGGAAAAGGAAGAAGATCGCTATGTATAGGAGATATCGACTTTAACACGTTTTGCAGCTGTTCGGGTTAGGGCAGTCGCACAGACCTCTGTCTGCCGGCTCTAATTGGAATAATTCCGCGTAAATCCCATCTACAAGATTCCTATTTGTTGGAAGTACGTTATACCAGTTTTCTTCGACACTTTTGTTTGGGTTCATTCTAAATAAATTCGTATCAGCAAGTCTGGCATGAAACTTGACCAAAGCAACATAAAACAACTACATAACAACGATGCAAGAAGTTCGCATGTTTTGCAGAAATGCAGGAAATCCACGACGGTTGACGGCCATTTTGTGTATTGTCCAGAGCGGATATTTCACAAAAAAAGACCAGACAAGATGGCTAAATTGTACAAATAAATAGAGCAAAAGAGATTGATGGCGACAGCAGCATTATAGAGCTTTCAGAAACATTTAGCAATTTATATGACAGTATATTCTGTGTTATTCAACACAGAAATATCGACATGATCGCAGGTCTGTGACTGGAAGTATCTCTAGATGAAAGAGCTCGATAAAATATGGCAAATGAAAGGATGTAGAATTATTCCAATCGTTTTTTTTCGTTACTCTGAATTACTTACTTTTTTAGCAACATTAGCCATATCTTACACTAGATTGAATGTAATATTAATAGTATTATATTATAGAATGGCACCATGGTCATGCCACGTAGTTAGACCTATAATAAACAAGCAGGAAATCATTTTTTTCGGTTATCAGATCGAGTGTTATTATCTGATAGCAACTAAAAAAAACTAAATGCTAAAAAGCACAGCGCGAACAAAATGAAATCTAAAATACGAAATAATATCTCGTCATTGCAAATCTAGGTTGTAAGTAGACAATTGTAAACATAATGAGAATTTTACAAATGAAACGTATAAGCAGGTGCCGAAAAGAAATAACTGTTTTGAAATTTTGTTATTTCGAAATTTTCCAGTAAAGTAATTTTTTCCCTCGTACAGGTTTGTGCGTTATTGTAGTGTCGGGATTATAACAATATCAAATGATATTTTGTATAAACTAATTGAGGAACAAGTTTCATACTGTATTGGCAAGATACGAATGTAACATTTCGTAGGTCCAAATATTTGGAATATTGCTTAACATAAATAATGATAATAATAAGAACCTACTGAAACCTGTGTAACTCTTGGAATACGCTTTATTCTACTCATAAGTGTAGTAGAAGCGGCTCATGTATTACTCAATTTAGAGAAATTTCGTGGTGGCTGAGCGATCCAGTTCGTTGACTAAAAACATTTTACTGAGAACTGGCCAGCCTGTATTTTTTTTCTGAGCGCTGTATTGAGCGAAGACGTAAGCTGTCCTGCATTGATTTACACAGTGCCAGAATCATGTTCTTGTGGCAACTGGTAATATACTAATTGACTATCCAGCCCACTACGAATACGGACGAATCTACAGGAATAAACACAAAGGTCTTGCCAATTAAATATATTGCCATCATACAGATTGCTGTGCATTTTAGGTTTAGACAAATCTTAAAGAAAAAACGACGCCAGGGGTTGAGCTCTGGAAGAGCGGCTAGTACACGTTTTTCGTTTGGATACTGATGGATTTCATTCAACTACCGAATTCAGTTCAATTAGAAATACGTTTTTTCAATACAATAGTTTACTTTAGATACTTGGCTTTCTTTTACCGTGTTTGTATAAGGTACACTCTGCGTTCTGTTGTGCCTTGTTCTAACTGTTCTCGTTACAAACAGAAATTGTACTTCGGTTTCCTGGAAGCGCAAAACGCGGCTGATGACTTACTTGCAATACGAGATGTCTTGTACTCCGATATATCGCAGACGCTAAGTTTTAGCTGAAATGCTGGAGAACGTTTCATGTTCTTTCAAAGACAGCATCGGGACTGATTTTGTGCTTCTATTCGTTGACGATCCAGTCCGACGTTATCGAACTGCTTTGCCTGTTAGTGGTCATAATTAGGGGTGCCATCCATTGCGAGCTAGCGAAAACAATGCACAGTTGGCAACTATGACAGATGGCGCACCGGACATATGTTCTGTGTCTCCAATGCTTATTCAAAAATTCCTCTATACTGACATCAAACATGGTTAAAGCATTAGCAAGACGCGTATACAGACTGAGACGTCCGGATTCGGACGAAATGTAGCTGGCTGTTTGTCGTAGCGGACATGTGTTAACCCTGTACCCTTAGCACCGCAAGGAAGCCACCTCTCTCTATGAAAAAATTAACAATATTATGATGGTGAAAAACAGTGCGTCGTTTTCGGAATCTGAGCGAAGACTAGTCGGGGTCAAATATTTTCACGCTGGACGAACCACCACCAACTAAAATCTTCTTCTCTTGCCTGAAATTGACAATCTGCGTTATTGCCACAGTTCATGCGACTTCTGAAAAACCCGGAAAAATCATGGAGACAAATCGGAAGATCCTCAGTGAGGTGTAGGTTTAAAGGCCTCGAAAATTCATAATGGCTTAAAGGGCTAACTTCGATACACCTGTCTTTGTTACAAAAATTAACGACGGTTTCGGAACAGATAATATTAATTTCTAATTGGGCCATCTAGACAAACTTCAACCGTCAGTCTTTCGAGACCTTTTGAGACCTTAAAACCCGTTTGTCGTTTTGAGCCCTTGCAATTTTGGGATTTCTGACCTGCTATTAGACCAAAGTTTAATTCCGGGTTAGATTCCGAATTGAAGTTAAAATCACTGTGAATGATGCCTATAATAAGTAGGCATCACTTCCAAGACCAACACCTCTACTGCATGCAAGAAAAATTCGTTGAAATGCGTTTTTGTTTAGATGCATTTCTAACAACAATGCATAAGAAAAATTCGGAACATATATAATAAATTTACATAGAAACCAATTAAAACTTACTGAAATCTAAGTGCAAAGGTAAATAAGTTAGAAAGATCACCATTCAGCGCTCAACATCTTTTCCTACGGAACAGCTACGGATAAACAGCGAGATAATGGCAGGATTCAGTAATAGCATAATTACAGATTCTAGCCATAATAAATAGCATTCATTATTCTTAACCAGCAGCTTAGGTTGAGATATATTCCCGAAAACGGAAACCGGTGGACAAGTTTGTGCATATCGATAACAACGACACCAAGATGACTCCTTCAACTGGAACTAAACGTACGCGAGGAAAGAATAGCTAAAGAGTGAAAAAAGCATACGCAGGCAGACTTCCGCAGAAGTGTTAGTGGTAAAAATCTACCTTTTATTGGTTATATACTGTTAACATACAACTATTTGGTCATTTGCATGAAAGATGAATCCATTGGTTCACGATTCTTTAAAAAAGAATCTGTTCATGACTACGAGCTGCCTGCTTTCCTTTCTAGAAACCTCAGGCTAATACCACCGTCCTTGGGCTATGCAACATTCAGACGACAGAATGCTTTGTCAGAAATAATACATGTATAAAATGACTGCGAATAGAAGTAACTCGTAAGGTGAAAACGTCTAAAATACGTATGTGTAATTACTGGTGATATTTGTGACCGTCTGATTTATATTACTTGCATTGTCGGACGATATAAAACATACCAGAATTTATTATTGAACACAGAACATTTTCATAGGTGGCTCTAATACTCCTCAGTTTTATTAGGACCGAGAATTCGCGGAACTGGTACGGGTATAAATAGCCCGTTGAGAATTTTTCATAACCGTTTTAATTGAGAATGCGTCAACAAGGGACCTAAACGGTTATGGTAACTCATTATTTGTTGAAGAGCGCACGGTCAAAAGCCAATCGCGCCTCTCATTGGCTCGAGTTATCATTAACATCTTAACAGTTAGCTACGCATATTTCAAGTACGGTCAGGTCGTTGGAAAAAATCCTCGACGCGATGAATCAACTTTGCTGGGTCATTCGAAAACGTTAACAAGATGAGTATTCAGGACATCACGACGTAAATATCTGCACCGTCCACAAGAGGACTGTCGGAAACTGGAGAAGTCAGGCTGTGAAACTGACACACTTGATCGGCTCGAAATTTCGCTATTGTTTATTACGAGCTTCAGGTTTGTTAATACAAGGCAAACTCAACCGGTAGTAGGTTTATCGTTGTACGTCACCTTACGGTTGTTCGTCTAAACATATTTTTCTCCATTAGTTAACAGTCGTAGCGATGAGACGCCGAACCCAGATGAGATCCACTAGACTCCTCTTGAGAGGAAAGTCATACATTCAAACTTAGTAAACATGAAGTTGACTAGTAGAACCTACAGAATAGACATTATAGATCTATATCCGTCAAACTGTCTTACAAGCTATAGTCCTGTTAACGTCGGCGCAGGTACGCCAGAAAAATAATCAAACTTAACCAATCGATGAGCGTAAAGTCCGTTACAATGATTATTATAGTTAGCTAGCTAAGACTAATTAGAATAGGATCGAAAACACTCCTTGTGTCCCTATAATAGATCTCTTTCGCTATAATTAAAACCATGATTATCGCATTAGTAACTGAAGTGTTATCGTCATGGCCACCGTCGTTACCAAGCCAGACTTTTTGCGGAAAGTGCCATATACTTTAATCGACAATGAATTTATTTAATTGCTGAAATAACCAACGCTAACAAAAGTACATTCGAGTTTGTTTCAGCTCATTTACATTTAATGACTGCGTCAGTTTCTATAAATTAATAAGAATGATTCCTGTTTTTTTCTCATTGGTAAGACCAAACAAGCACTCAACTTTTTACTTTGGAACAAACTGTACGGAATAACAGTTCACTGCATACACAGAATATTCGCTGGCTGGCTGACTGTCGTTATGTAACTATGTATTTTACTACTATTAGGTACCAGAGCATTGCTCGATAGCACAAGGGACTGTACGAAGGACTTCTATTAAATAATTGTCACTAGTGCTAACAATTACTAAGTCGCCCTGAATCCAAGTATGAGTTTGAAATTCAAATACTTTCGTTGGGCTTCCAACAGCTGGCTTTCGAACAACCAGCATTCTTAATTTGAGTTTTCCTGTAATCTTTTTTTGCCCTGACGTCGGTAGATTTATTATAATTTGTAGATTATCAGTAGCTTTGAGTACCACAAATAAATCAAATACGAGCGCTTCGACGCGATCTATAGCGTTGTATAAAATTGTCACCAAACTGCGAAAATGAAATTTCCACTAAGGGTCCCTATCTACAATTTAGCCGGGTTGTAAACGTGGTGCAATTGACGGCAATGATAACACTAATCGCCGCTAAAAAAACAACCAGTCGTGCCAAAAACACCCTTTTCTTTTTGTCAATTTATATTTGGCGGCTTTGCCTTATGTACATCAACGAAGATGAACAAAGGCACAAAAACACATGCACCTATATCCAGAAAAGCATGTAATGCGTCTTAAGAAATCAATACTTTTTGTCTTTCCCGCGACTGCAATTAATTTCGAATTCTAAAGCTTGAAACATTTGTCTGGATCGTAATGGAAGAGGGATGTCTACTTACTTCTCTGTACGTTGTGGTGAGCACGTCATGGTAAAAGGAAGATAAATAAAAGACAAAAACGGTCCGCGTATACTTTTCATTTCTACGCTTCTGATGGATAGCTAGTAATCCAATAAGAAGCTATGCAAATACAAAAGAATTTAATTGCCAATAAATATTTAAATATTAAACCGTAGGTGAGTTATTGCGACTTTTGTTAATTCAGGTTTGATATTCTTATTCATTCAGTAACGAACTAACTAATACGTTCTTGTCTAAATCGTTTGACGTTCCCGAGTTCAAGCTACACAAAGGACAACATATTTAACATTTCGCTCCTAGCTTCCTTCATTTATCAATTTTAGTAACTCTCTCCGAGAAGTTTTGACTTTTGACGGTTTTTGTTAAGTGAGTTAGTATTTCTAATCTACTATACTGTCTTTACATTTTTTTCACTGAAGTAGCACATCCTTTCTCTACCCTATTTCTTTTGGTCTTTTATAACTTTCTCCGGTACTTTTATGTAAATGTCAACCTCTACAACCATTTCTATTCCACGTGTCATTTCACCTACAATCGAGTACCGAACCTTTCCATGGAATACCTGTTCCTCCAACAGATTCACGTACCTCATTAATGGTCCACAGTTCCGGCGCTGTATTTGTGAACGTAGATAATGGCAGATCGCCTTCCATGATTCCGCGCACAGCGGATCTGCACTCGTATCGGCGGAATCACCTGCTACTGCTGTTGGTCCTGTTTGCTGACAATCGCAACAACTGCTAAATAACAACCACAACGCGAACTCTTGTCTTGTTTTTTTTTGCTGCCACGCCTCTGCTGTCTGCTCGTTCTTTTGAGCCCAGCTCCCCGACCACATAGGCACATATCATACGGCGTTAAGCGAGCCTTGGCCCTCTTTCCATACACGGCAGATAGAAGATTGACGAAAAATCTACACATACACACATATAGGCAACAATTTGATGTAAAACGTGGGTCGAGAGCGATTTGTCGTCACTCAAGCTGCTCACCGCTCCAGTGATCGGCATCCGAATTGAGTCCTATAGACAACGTTGGCTCCCGTTATGACCTATAATGCTTCTAATGGTCTACACGATACTAAAAAAATGCTAATAATAGCCTGTAGAGTGTTCATCACATTCAAATGCCGGGTTAATGTGGGCTTGCTTAGTGTCAGCTGTGTCGGCGCTGCGGTCACTTTTACTAACTCCTTCTGGCACTATTTTCCAGCACGCCGCCCAGTGAATGGATCTTTAGCAGCAATAGAACTGGTAGTTTCACTACGAGAGGTTCGATCATTCATACTACCCCGCCACCGGGCCATCGAGAGCGCCCACACTCCGAAAACGTTAGTAACGTTAGCTGCAACGACGAAACCACACTACTAGGCGAAACCAGCTACTGGAGATTTGAGTGTAAATGGAAATGTAAGCTCTGCAGAGAGGGCATTTGAACGACAACATTTGAGTTCGACTCACCTGTGCGCTACACCCTGTTCCGCCTCTTTCGTACTGTCGATGACAGCGTCGATAGAATAAACAATGCTACAGCGGATGTCGTTCTATTACGCAGCCTGATAGTTCTGGCTGACATTGTTGAATAATGGAAACCAAAACAAATCCTCTGAGGTTTCCGCGCAACGGCATCTGCCACCTACCGATCACCCGATGTTGCCTCCTGTTTCCGTCCTAAGATTCATTCGTATGTACCTAGGTTGCTCTAGCGGACACGTCTCTAACTGTCACAGCTGCTGTTGGGTGCAAACATAAGCAGCAGTAGTTATTAACAAGCGCAATGGGAAAGGGCGACCCGAAACAAGCTACGTCAGAGACCAACTATCAACTCAGATTTCTACGCTGTGTCGACCCCTGTCATCGAACATAACAATGCTTGTTTATGAGTAAATACTACCAATTTGATAGGCTTTTTTGATTTTTGTACATGTAACTAGCTATCGAGTGCGGCCAACTGACGCTAAGTTGGAATCCGGTTAAAAGTGAGGCTGTGATAGTTCGTTTCGTCCCTTAACGATGCGGCCAGTCGTGTGCTTGCGGACAGTGATGTACACTGCGCTGCGCGATTCGCAGGCGCGAGTCGTTTCGCCCTCTGGCCGCACTAGTCCTGCTGTACTGTTGAGTGTTCGACGGCGAACTACGTCGTCTGCTCCTGCTATATCTAGCGAGCGCAATTTCATCCATCTGGGTAATGTTGTCGTGGCTTACTATCGAAAGGTGAAGCCAGAGCTAGTGGGTAATCAGCAGTTAGCTCGCTAGGGGTTGGCCATAATCCGTTCGGTGTCCGCAACAGAAAAGAGGAGACTCTTGACAAAGGCACGGGACGGCACACAGGTAGAACTGAAGGAAAAGGGACAAATACACCGTGTAGTGTTGTCCACGGTTCGGTTCACTATAGACAGTTTCAAACGCTGGCTTGTTGGCCTCGTCTTGCTAATAGTTGTGAATCAAGCCACTCGTTTACCCGATTCTGTAAAATGCACACAATCGCACCATTTTGACAACCAGAACTCGAACAACTTGCATTTACCACAAGATGACTCTGTTTATACCTCTGTTCGCCTTTGTCCTGTCGCCGCTCGAGCCATAACGCAAGACACCGTTCCGCTTTCCTGAAATAAAAGAACGAAAACATAACTTTTCATAGCGTCAAATTGAAGGTGGTTGTGTAAACTGTAGTGTTCATTGACTTAGAAAAAAAATTGTGGCTTCCTGGTACAGGTGAGACATCGTTTAAGAGCAAAAGTATAGCAGCCTAAATGGCAGTCACTCCTAATCGCTGCTAGTGAAGTATCGTTTTTCGAAATTTCACTGTACCATAGCCATTTTAGCTGCTGGTGTTGCTGGGCGTTTATCAATGAACCACTGACCGTGTGACTTTGTTGACGCTGTGTGCGCACGTCCACTGTCCGCCACCTAATGGTGCTATGCCTTAGTGAATTGCGTCGTGTATGTTATCTTGACGGTGAGCGAATGAACATGTAATCGTTTATCTATACTGCACAGGGTCGCGGGTGGTCGCGGCGGTGCGTGGCCCGACAGGTGGCGGCAGTTGGCAGCGATAGTGAGCATTAGCGAAGCAGTGCTGCGGAAAGGGATCATTTTACTGTTCATCACCACAGAACGGGCAGCTGCGACACGGTCAAAAGAAAAAAGTCTTGGGACGCACGGAAGCCGTAGAGAGGAAAACCCCCTGACTAGGACTGCCACCGCGCGCTAACGAGCAAGCGACCTGATTCAAGGGCGCCGCAAGGCTGACACCTGTGCTGCTGTAGCTGACTAATAAAATTTAGTGCATCGTCAACAGAGTTGAACGAAAAAGATGATGTTGAAGCCTAATATAAACCGCATGAGGGCGTTCCACCGAAGTCAGCGCAGAGAGGCCGACGAGGTGAAGATCGACTTGGACGCCCCGCTGGAGTCGAACCTCAACGAGATTCTCCGCAATTTAGTGCAGTCGGGTCCGGCTGCCAGAGGCTATCTACGACCCCTTGTAAAACTGGCACCTGCCATTGTCCTCAGCCACCATCGTGACGACAACAAGATGGGCGCATGGAACCTACTAAAGATTTTCCGTTGTTTGAGAGTCTTTCTCGTCGATGAAGAGACTGAGGTGAAGGCGGAGGCATTGCGAGTTCTTCGACATCTGACAGCATCTGAGTCAACTTTTGAAGTAATGTGCCGCGCACTCATACCTTCGCTTGTTGTCAAGTCGTTGGATATCGTGCTCGATAATAAGGTTGAACGTCTTCAGGCGCTCAGATTAATGCGTCGATGCGCCTCGGTGGCTCCGCTAAAGTTTCCGTTAGAGTTTGCGTACTGCATTCTCGCTGTTGCTAATGATGGCGCCGCTGAACGAGATAACTTTGCCAAAGCGTGTGTAGCCACAGCAGCTGAACTCTGCATCGGAAACCCCCATCTTTGGCTAGCGTCAGGAACGTTTATGACATTGGTTCGATCGGTTCTCAGTTCGAACGTGAGCGAACCTCGAGCAGCTGAATCGCTTGTTTCAACACTGATGTACTTTGTAAACAGCCCGAAGACGCGGTATATGATCAATGCCGATCTCGGCTTGGAGTACCTGATCTCACCTTTCACTGACCGAAATTTTGAGGTTTACCCTGACGACCAGATGTTTCATCACGAGCGCGAAATAAAGGCACGTGTAGCCATCTGCTCCATACTGCGTTCATGGCCCGGCCTCATCTACTTGTGTAGTGAAAAAAGCGGCTTGACAAAACTTATTGAACTGCTGAGAGTGCCTGATACAGAGACGCAACGTTCAGTCATGGACCTCTTCTTCGATTTGTTCTGTCTCCAAACACCTGAATGGACTACGGACTTCCGGATAGCATTGTTGGCAGCCGACGACAAAACTGGTCTCCAGCGGGGCTGGTTGCTCTACGAGGGTTTTGTAGCGGCCGAGGGGGCAGACCTGATACCGCCAATATCTCGATGTGTAAATTTATCTTCCTGCTACTTAGCTCTACTTCTTCAGGCTATGGTAATGCACGGCCTTCTCGACGCGGTAGCGGAAGCGACCGTCGGAGATGAAGAACAGGTGTCCATCCATGCCACGGTTCTACTGGCAGAACTATTGCACATGTGCAGTCGTCTGTTCCCACACGACGCGAGTCATATGTGCCATCTATTGCCAGGCCTAATCGATGCAACCATGTCACCAGATATGAATATTCGTCTCAAAGCTATATCGGTTATCAATCGATTGGCCTATATCGAGAAATTCAAGTGTATGACTATCGGGGTGCCAACGTCGTTAAACCTAGACCAGCAGCTTCTGTTTTGTCAACAGGCGAAAAGTGGACGTAGCTCTGCCGAAGCGCAATCAGTTTCGTCGCAGTCGATAAAAAGCGATACGCTCAAACGGAAGAAAACCCAGCGAAAAACCAATACGCAAAGTCCCGTTCTTGACAATCTCTTTCTGAAGTCAGGAGTCTCTGGGACGGAATTCGAGTGGGATGTTGTCAAGTGTCTATTGAAACATCCGGAATTCGAGGATGATCCCCAGGCAGTAGGATTTTTAGAAAAACTCGTTGCATTTTACATGCCGTCAAATCGACAGTTTTCAGCGATCGAAACCGAGCGTGAGCAGGCTCGAAACATGTGCTCCGCACTTCTCGTACTGACGGATTTTTTCCTTGAAAAACTGCCTGATAACTATTTGCTTGACGATCTCGTCACTGATGTCTGTAACTGTTTGAAACAAATTCAAGGGGAAAATATACCACCGAATTCGGTGTTATCTCCGGCCAAAGCTTCTTCCACTCTGAGTCAAGCATACTTCCTGCTCATCGGTAGGCTAACCGGAAGCGTACAAGGACTGCACATATTGAAAAAGGCCACAATATTTGAACAGTTGACGAAACTGCTGGTAACTAGTCCAAGCACGGCCTCAATGAGCTACAATGATGTGTACATTAAATTAGCACTATCGCCTTTGAACTACACCAGCCCAGGACCAAGCCGGGAGCTTTTTAAGCACGTGATCACCTCGAATCGTTGTGAATCGGCCAGAATCTACTGTGTCAATTTGCTTCGCATGCTGATCCGGTTTCGGCTGAACGATATGTCACGATGGGTTATCAAACTCTTAGTCGAATGTTTATCCGATGATAGCGCAGAAACGGCAATTAAAGCCACAGCCTATGAAGTTCTTAATGAGGCCTGCGATGTAGTGGATAATCTTGATGCGCTGATCGCCCTCGACCCACAGCTCAATACCGAAAATGAAGATCAAGCCTGGATGTTACAGGTAAGTTAGTCTCAAACGGCATACATCTCATTTAGACATTCAGGTATGACCCTACGTGTTTTGTTTATTCTACACGAGAATGTAAAATTATATAAAAATATAATTTTCTTAATAAGGTAAAAAAGGTAAACAAACATTTGGTCAACAAAAACAGAAACTGTTATTTATTTCCTGATGTTCCAGTTACGATATTTTTCGCGCGCCAAAGGAGTTGCTTTGTTAGAGAAAAAGGGCATTATGGAGAGTGAAATCAACCGCTGGAAGTCACTAGGAGCTCTCAAATATGTCAAATGGGTAGAAGACGTTATAAACCAGAGTGTCAGCCGACATCGACGAGGCGCGGATGGTAAGTACGGCAGGCGGTACAGTGGTGAGCATAAGCTTCACCGACTGCGTCCTGCGTTCTGTCCTCCGCACCTACTTGGCCAGCTTGCATCACATGCGCCCGGTATCGATATCATAAGAGAAAAGAACCTTGTTGAGCCATTGTACGAAACGATTCGCAAGGGCAACGTGGATACGCCGACGGTGATATTCTATGTGAAGGCAGCCCTTTGGGGTGTAGGTCATTTGTGCAAGACGCCAGCAGGCCTCAAGCTTGTTCAGGAGCAGGACATTCTCCAAAAGGTGGTTGAGTTGGCAAAAACGTCGAACGTACTAAGTTTGCGTGGCACAGCATTCTACTGCCTATGTCTAGCATCTGTGACAAGTGAAGGCTGTGATATACTCTCGGCAATGGGGTGGGAAGGCGTAAGACAAAGTTCAGCTAGTAATGAATTGTACACAAGCCAACGTTCAGAATCCGTTGGCTCACAATGGAGTTTCGATTCATCATGGACATCGGCAAACGAGTTTCGAGATCGAGCTGGTAGTACTCGTGACTCAATCAGCTTTGATGACATTTCATTGACGCATAATGAGGATATAATTAATACTGCCAATGCAGTTAGTCAGCCATCAACGTGGACTTTCACCGATATGCGAAAAATGATGCGTTATTATACAAGCCAGGCTGACGCATCTGGTTATGGGACACTGAAACTTCTGAGGCCAAAGCGAGGATATAAATCCAATGGGGAAGTTCGTAAGTATCACGTAAGCAAAAATATATCTTAAGGAATTGTAGTTAAATTTTACGCTTGCTTGTGACCATTTTAATTGTTTACCGGAGAAAAACGGATAGTTTTCTAAAACAAAACTTGTCAACTGTAAAAAATAATACCTAGTATATACGACTGACCTATACGGTAGTTAAAGGGTTGTTTTGCTTCATTGTCAGAAACAACAGTTAATACAACTAACAAGGATGATGATGTTCTGATGGAGTACTTACGTATTCACTTTATATTTTAATCCCTATTTATATGTTCATATTTCATGTGATTATACAACGCAAAACGGTAACCTAGGTTAATGCCGATAAGCAGAAACTTCGAAATATTTGTTTGTTTTTTTTAACAGCGCCTGCTGCAACCACTCCCAATTTACCGCCATCGAAAGATGATACCGATTGTATGCCGTCCGTACTCGTCGGCCTTGTGCTTCCCCGTCATATTAATAGTATCTTTAATAAGGACTTTCTTGCTCTTGAAAAAGCGCAACCTGCCGCAGCCAATGATCTACCAAGGGAGTCATTTGGAACAGTCCATAAACAAGAAACGTGTCTTCGGTGTGGCGACTCGTTAAAAGAAGAAGATGAATCAAGTATAGCGAAGTTCTCAAACGAAGTTATTCCCGAACGAAGCAACACGAGCACAGAATCAAAGGAATGCCTAGCAAGTCCTCTTAAAGCCACTCCTCAAGATCGAGAGCAGGCTCGCAATGATTTACTTAGGTTCGTTTCATGGACTTGAGCTTTTAGAGAGGGTGGTTGAAAACACTTAAAGTACAACGAGAGGCAATCTGCGATGCATGAAAGGAGACTATTTGACAAATTTTGCAATCAATTCCCAACCATTAGTTTTATAGGTATGCTATAATATTTAACACTATAACGACCCATAGCTGTAATAGACGTACTATGCCAATATAGCGTTCTAGGCCTATAAGGCAACAGGAGTTACAGTTTGCGTTTTTCTTTGTAAAATCTATTTCGTCTGCATTCATAACATTACCTGCTCTTTGTGTAGCCTTCTAATTGCACCTGTGTTTGCTGTTATTTTTCTCTTCTCTATGAAGATACGTGATAAATCTAGCTGCCGTCTATCCAAATAGCAACAAAGCCGTGGAGCAGTTGTTGCTATCGATGAAACAGAAACAGCCGTGGGTGTTCAGTGATCTCTGCCTCTTCTCCGATTGTTGTCACCTCATGCGAATATTTCAGCTGCGTCAGCCGTTCCGCAAATTTCTCCAGGAGCTCTTCATGGACGTTAACTTCGACGAATTCAGAACTCGCGCCGAAGTGATCGTCAAGAAAGCAACTGCCATTTCCGTAAACGCTATCAGAGAGACGATACGTGAAGATGACGAAGAAGTCAAAGAACTCCAGCGTGAACGTGGCATAGTCAATAAAAATCGAAGCAATGTAGAGGCCGAACCAAAAGCCAGCCCCCAACAGAATAGCACCGACAGCAGTTGCAACGATGATGAGACAAGGGAATTGCCAGCGGAAGCCTTGGCACGTAATATTAACAGCAACAATTGGAAAGAACGGCCTCTCAGTAATGGACAACGAGAAGAAACCGATAAATGTGAGACAAACAAGGTTATCATAGAGAAGAAATCGCTACGTATCCGTTGTGACGAGGGTACCACAAACAATCGCGGTGACGGCGAGTCATTGGGAACTGCCTTCGACAGTTCCGACAAGCTAAAAGACGGAAATAATGGTAAAACTAAAAGCGTCGCTATAACAGTGAACTGCTCAGGTGATGAGGTCGGAGGGAAAGTGCCTGATCCTGCAACGTCGAGAAATGAAGCAGCAGGCGATCAGTAAATTGTGGATCTATTAAACTTAGTAAATGGATCGAATTTGAAAGAGGCCGCTCCAGATTCAACGAGTACGAGCCAGGGTTCGAGTGCGGCATTTGAGGAGAATGGCGATGTTCAGGGGTCTGCATTAAACCGGTGGAGACGTGGTCGCCAAAAGAATTTTGTCGGGTAGAACAGCGATATTGATAAAGTCGACTAAGCAAACCTGGAGGTAGACTCATGTAGGTTAATGTAGAAAACAGTTATCAGCCAGAAGAAAGTTGGTGTGAAATCAGTAAGCTTATTAAGATTAACTTTGATGTATGATTGCTGATCCTTCTGTGCGATGAAATTTGTACCCGTGTGAAAAGCTAAAGACCCTATCAACAAAAAAACGACAGTAATTCTATTAGTCCAATTATTCTGACTGTGTATATGTGAGCTCGTGTGCATATTGCTAAGGTTACTACAGTACCATTATGCATAACAGCCGCACTAGCTACGTTCTATAAGTATATAGAAATATATTTAAAAAATTATAGACACATTTATTTTTATGGCTCTCATATGTTAATTGTTACCGCAACAATGCCAGACGCAATGCAAGGGACCGTTGCCAACCTTAATAGCAGAAAAAAAAAGCAACGAATTACGAACTGCTAAAAAGATATATGCATGCGTTAAGCCAGCGACATGACGGCCATTATTCCGTGGCCATCGGTGGTTCGTTAGCAATTTTTGCCAGTCTCTTGCAAAATGAAGCACAAAATGATGATGATGATGATCGGGGTGCACTTGTTGTCTTAGCCGGAATCGCCTTGGTTGAAAAGTTCCAGATACAGACCTTATGTATAATAGTGTTCGCAATGTAATAATGAGCGGTGTGAAAGTATGAAAAAAGCTATTAATTTTCTGTTCACGTAAATTTCTAACATGATCATGTCGGGCCAACGATCAGAGGCATCAAAATAGTCGCATCGTTCACTCGTCTTACCAACATGACGCGAACCTTCCTACAACTTCACGCTGTAACATCTCCCCGTGATACCTTAGTGAGTAATGTGTTTGCTTGCTAATATTAGGAACATGTTGTAGTCTGGGTTCGAATTCGGATATAGACACGTTTCGTTTCGTGATGGGAGCCAGTCGTCCGATGAAATGTTTAACGGCGATACCAGGGGAAAGACTCGAAACACAGAGATGTTGTAACATGACGACCGCTGCCAATGCTACGATACGCGCCATCAGTGTCGCATTGCGTATGCACTGACATTGGCGGCGTGATTGGTTAGCGTATTTTCAAAACGCAACTCGTAAAGGCAAATTATAAGAGATTTTATTGTTTTAGCATAACATTGATGTCTCATTATGATAATACGAATTCTTGCCAAAGAAATGGGCTGCTACGATTCCTTTTATATATATATATATATATATATATATATATACTTTCCAGCAGTGAAAGTTACGTACTACGCTATTCAGAGAAATGTCATTTAAGTGTGTACAATGTGATAACATTATGCACGGTGTTACATGTGCCTGTAAGTGTATGTGTTGAATGTGAATATTTCAATGTTTCGGCTGTATAGCATCGACGAAGCTAATATTGGACAGATAGATTTTTAGTTGTACTATTATAATACTATAGTTGCCACTAATCATGATTTGGAGTCATTCGTTTGCCGCCAGCATTTTTACGCGATTTTTGCACAATTCTTTTACTTATTACTAAACGAGTGCCTTCGAGGAGCAAAAGAACTGGAGCCAAACAAACAAACAAACAAGCAGACAGCATTAGAGCGGATAGGTATGAATTCTGTTATTATATGTGGCTCCGATAGTTAAAACTTGTAGTCATAGCAGTGGTATTAATCGTATGAAATGAGGAAACGAGTCAAATCACATTTGTGCTAATCGCAATTTGGGTGGTAGTTGCTATCTGAGATCTTACGGATTAGCAGGCGGTCAAATTATTTCGTCAACGGGAACGTGTCAGTGGCTTTTCACTGCAATACAATAAGATTATACAAAACACAATAATAATAGCGACGTACTATCGGCACTAAAGTCGAGAAACTTGCTTACAAATTTGGCACGTGCGCGAGCAGTCATAGTGATGATATTATTTAAAACTTAAATAATTTCGAAATAGGACAACACCCAACTCTAATTTAATGATGCGAGGAGTAAGAGAATTGCGAAATTTTTATATGGACGTTCGTCGCTTAGCAGCTCTGCGTGCCATCTCGCGGTGTCGAAAATGGCCGTCAGTATGATTGAACAGGTGGATACATAAAAAGCTTTAAGCTGTACACAATTGCAAATTGAAGAGAAAATCAAGGTGGTCATTATGATATATATACACAAAACAAAGGTAATTTAATAAAGGTTTTTATTTTTTTGTACATATTAAAGTGTGGTCTTTGATATCGTAAGAAGTTCGCAAATAGAGAACCGCTATCCTTAGTCATGACGATGGTTGGGTTTATAGCACAAATTATCAATTACCCAAATGATTTGTTGTTAAATTAACAGCACTCACGGCCCTTTTAAACAGCAGAAGATTCAACGATGACCTCATTAATTTTCACATTAACTGACACTTGTTGTAAATGATCACACAAATCTGCAACGACCTATTTATACTAAATATAATTTGCGATGACCTCTTCGAGTGGTGATGAGATTTATTTTCGTCGTTATATTTACGAGAAAATCTACGATAAAAATCCAAGCTATCATGTAACGAACGTGGCGCACAACAGCGTTATTAGCTGTTAATGTTTCTTTGTCTGCTTCCGTATTGGCATATTAGCTAAACCTAGATTAGGTTTGTTTAGGATAAGAGGCCGGGTTCCTTTCTTTTTCTGTAACAATATGGATTTACAAATACGAAAAAAAAGATAGATAGGCCTATGAAAGTTATCAGAGAAAACGATACGTTTTGATTAAAACCCTATGCTTCTATGAGCATTCAAAGAGCATTCAGTCTAAATTACAAGAAGAAATTCTATTAACTGTTATTTCAGTAGTTCGCTTATAACTGATATCAGAATTACGAATGCATTAAAAAACATTCAGGACACACATTCTCCTGAGCATTCCCTACTTATTTTGGAATAGTAATTTTTTTGGTAGATTCCGTATGCACTCATTACTTAGCTATTCTGTATGGCTGTACCATATTTGAGTCGAGTACTCAGCTTATTTCTGTGTATTTGGCGCTAGGACTTTTTTTCTAGTAGACCTATGTAATTACGATAAAGAAATCTAGAAACAACGTCCCTATACCATTGTTTCTTACCTAGCTGCTTGTTGACATTTGTAATGACTGAGGCCTCAAGGCCAACAAACCTTCATCAATTTTTTTATCTTAATTAATAGCAAAAACCTAAATAACGACTGGATACTGTGTTACTGATGTATCGACTATCTAATTTGAGTTTTATATCGTTGACTTTGAATGGTATAAATACGGTGTAGAGTTAGCTAGTTACTAGGGTACCTTTATGTATTGCACCTGTATTCGATTTAGAAGCAGCACTGCTGTTCATATTTGGCCATTTTGCATTTGGCCTCGTGTTCCCGTAATAGCTCTTTATCGCCGTTCCTTTAACAATACATTGGCTGTATTTTATATGGTTAATTGTAGTATTCAATGTCCTCTATTTTACTTCATATATACATAACAAAAAATCTCATATTAAAATACTGATCGCGTCTGTCCTAAATGTGCGTTTTCGACAAATTCAACAAAGGGCTATACTATGTAGTTGTCAATGGGTTGTTGTGATGGCAGTCGTTGATTATTGTGCATTTTCGTTTGCTCTCTTATTTTAACTATGGAAAGCTTTTCATTTTAAAAACACTCACTTGTTATATGTTTCGGAATGGATTTTTTTGGTTGCTTTAAAATCGCTCTGTATTGAATAGGTATAGACTCTAGGGTGATCTTCTGCCAGACTTGAAATTTTATGAAACTGAAGAAGGCTATATATAATATATAAATTCATAATGCGGCCAGATTATTGTCATTTTGCGAATTATTCTATATCAAACAAAATCGAATTGCTTGAGACCCTTGAGGTTAATTTTTCTAACCATATCCTCATAGACCTCTAACAACGTTCATATTTAAGAATAAGAGCAAATCTGCATAAGAAAACAGCAATATAAACGCGAAGATTATAGTGCTCAGGTAAGGTTCTATAATTTTTAGCTAATTAATATAAATTAACATGAGAGTAACTATTATCATAGAAGAAAAAGTTTCAAAATCCAAAGTGTTATCACCATTACGCATATATCAGGCTAGTTTACTCTTGTCCTGCGTCCATCCTCGCAAACTAGGCATGTTTGAGCGCGGCGTTTTTTTTTACTAATATACATCGCGCGCTAATATACTGGAACTAACAGATCTTGGAAAAAGCAGTAGTCTTTAAATATGTCGGACGAGTTATGTTACTGTCCATGCTGTACAGCTGATGCCATTCTTTTCACTTATCCCCGTCTCGCTACATTCTATTATAGAGTACTGTCTGTTTCGTTGATCGACACGTCTTCTGCAAGATACGGTACTTCAATTAGTTCATTTCAATATTAAAAATCACTTATACATTTACTCGACATCCGGCTTATGCTACATCTCAACTTTACCTCCGACGAATCAAATTTTGTCACCGAAATGTAGTTTTGTAACCCGGTGCTTGGCGATAATTGCGTGAGCCGAAATCTGCCAAGAACAAAAGCGATTTTAAGAGGCAGAAAGAAAATCTTATTTCCTGAGTCTTGTTTCGAAGTTGATTGGGCTTTGATCAACTGAGCAAGTTTCCTCTAATAAGCAACAATGATTACAGGCTTCACCTTCAAGGTTGCTAACCCTTATATGTGGCTTAGAGGCTCTCTAGATAAGCTGAGATAATTCTGTCCGAATGGCTTTCCCTATAAATTGAAAGGTCTCGGCACATTTAGAAGTGTCGATAACACGCGCGGACGAACCTTGGCATAGACTTTTTTTAAGGCAATTTACCTATACGCGTCCTACGCGCTGTTATAGTTGAATTATACTGTTATACTGAATTATACGTATTCTTATTATACAAACATTGCCAAATCCCAGACAAACTTCTTTCATTGCTGTTCTTGGCCCCTATAATTGGCATATTTTTTTTTATCGCGCTAATCAGGGTAGGTGTCTCGACAACTTCAATCGAAACGTAAACACAGCAATTTTTCGCAGAATTGATAAGACCATGAGACACTACAAAATGCTCGCATGAAGTTTGCGAATTCGTACGATTAGTAACAGAGGTTCTTTCTAGCGAACCGTTACCACTTATCTTACACCGAGCACAATTATTCCTTTGTAACAATGTCTCGTCACTAGATCATCCCGTACCCTCAGCAATACCAGAAACAACCGGACATTTCCGTTAAAATCTGCGGCGGCGAACTGCTATCAATGGGCTAAATTTGACCCATTGGAATGCCCCTACCTGTTGTGCCGACTTTACCGTCTCGATCGCGAGATGCATAGTTACCTGGACTACTGCACTATAGGGCTTTTGTAGCTACAACGTCGTTTTAAGATGCGGGAATTGAGCGAGCTGCACAAAGTTCTACATAGCGGTCCTTTTAATTTCAAGATAAATTTTCAATTCAGACAAATAAAACTGTTAGCTCTTTTGGAGCTGTAACGATCTGGATTCATCTCCCGTTTACGCTTCCAAACATTTACTAAGACGGCAATAGCTTTGAGAGTTTTAGGGCTACTTTCTTGACCTAGCCTCTCAACCTTCCGTTATCCGATAAGTTAGCCGATATATCCATCACAGTTGGTTTCCGGGGTGGCGTCCCTATGCCGAGAGTTGCTGGCGTAGGTGTTCACTGAGCTGATAAATGTCTAGTGCGTAGGAAGATCGCCAGTACTACATTCCTGTGTGAAAAAAAGCATAATGTGCGGGTTTCCATTGTCGATATAAGGCTGCCGGTTGAATTGTTGCTCAGAATTATGTATGACGACGTTAACTTGTTGAACTTAGAATGTAGTTACTGGTGTAACACGGCCGTAAATATCGGTCACACAATAGTAGCAGTGGTTTTTGCTTAGGCCATACTCATCTTGGTATTGACAAGGTCAAACTGCGCAGTTCTTTCTTGCATATTTTTGTAGCGCTCGTCGGATTTCTTGAATCCTCTATTTTAATACAGGTATTTGATCCTAATACGTCTGGCCTTGTTACATGTGCTTTTCGTCCGCTGATACTGATATGGTCCGTTAAGGTCACGAATATAACTTTAGGCCGACTTCGTTTGCTCTTGACCATATAACAGGCTAGCTTAGATTTATAGGGATAATGTCCGAAAAACCTTATTGCAAGATTGTAAAGTATCACGGCCAGCGGTTTTCTACAGATTCTCAATGAACTACTTGTTCGTGTTTCGGCTAAAGTTTTAAGTCTTCTGATACACAGTTTAACAACTTGTCATTGGTATCGCCAGTGCTATCGATCTGGGCATCCGCCCGAGTTGTTTGTGGCAACATATGTTACTGCAATACTAAGATCCGAACGTTAGAGATTTTGACAGCTTGAGGCGTGCAATCTTTCTCGCGTAAGCCATAGCATACGTTGTCAGTAGGAGTGATCAGAATGGTTATTGTTGGATAAACCTTCATAATCGATATCTACTCATGTGCACACTACCGTTATTATACGGTTCGTATATTGGCTAGTGTTTCATAAACTACAAAAAAGGCAGTAGTCAATCGTATCAGTCAATGAAACTGTGGGTTGCGATAATACTAGAAGGTGAGCTAATCATGTTTGAGATACGAAATTAGACCTCAGCAGATTATACTACAACTGATTGATTACTGCATGTGTAAATTCAGCCCCGGTCCTGAGCAAGCTTACCTAAACAAATGACACTGAAACAAATGAATCAGGACGAAGCTTTTAGGAAGCAATTTACCTGCGAACTATCTTAGGGTTTGCTTCATAATCATGTCCAAAGCATGAAACAAATTTTCATAGAGGTAAGTCGGAATTAACTGAATATGCACAGCTTTTAGCAAGTTCAAAGTCGGGGCGCGAAAGTTTGGAATGAGGAAACAGTATTGATGGACGAAAATTAATTGCTTGTTCTAACATCTTGCAATGTACAATAGGCATACATATATAGCCTTTTACAGTCTACTCCCGGCATACATACTAGACAAGAAAATGGCGCTGGTGTAAATACAAATAAATAAAAAATAGACAAAAAATGGCTGTTCATCTTGCTGATATCCACCTTCGTAAATTTCGTAAATTCGTCAATCCACCCAGGGCAGAAATACAGGATGCACCTTTATTCGCGGCACTTTTAGATTGTGAACTATTTAAAAAAGACGTCTCTGCATACTGATGCAGCCGATACTTGGGTCGTCAGATACTAAACCAGACTGCACAAAAAATGAGTATCTGACACTTAACGCTGTAACAACATTAACAGAAATGATCAAGCCAGTTGAGTTAATTCAGTATCTTCTTCTCGAATTCCAATGGACTTGAGGCGATAAAAAATTTAGTGTTTTCATCATTTATTGAACTTCCGGGTACAGTCAAGGACCGTGTACAAGACACGTCAGGCCTTAAGCAGTACAAAAAAAAAATTTGCAAAAACAACAATTCATGCCACTGTTAACATGCGTCGATCTCTGAAAATCTAATTTATAAAAAGAAAAACATGTTGCTTGCTTCCGGTTCCATACAACGCTATTCGAGTCAGGATCATACCAATTAAATTCCTTCAATCAGTTCGCGTTTACTGTCAGCTACATGTCTGATTTTATTGATAGGGGAGAGACGGTAGCCGCGAAAGCGTGCCTAGGCATGCAGTGTGGGGATCCCTTAGGAACTATTAACTCCAAAAGCCTTATAGGTATCTAAGAGTGCGCATATCGTAAATCCCATAAAGGAAACTACTAAGTGTCACCTATTTGGAATAAAGCGGCCAATAAGAACAGCTTAAAAACGCGCAGCGAACAGCTGCTATCGGGATAACCAGATTATGAAAAATTAAGGCAACCGAGACTTTTTTAGCTTTAATTCATTTGTGCCATGGAAAATCATAGGACAGAAAAAGCCAAAGACGCAAGCAACCGACAATCACAAAAAAAGTAGATGTGATTCAGGTGTATATGTCTTGACGAGGCCACAGCTCGTACGCCTTTGCTTCGGCCTAACGCACCCAAATGTGCCAAATTAGTGAAGCTCGTCGAGAACTAGGTTGAAGCTGTATCAAAGAGATAACAAAACCGGAAATAGGATTAGAAACCTGCTAGGCAATGTGAAGTCAACTAACCCTATATGTGAGTTTCAGCTTATATATATATAGTAATATAGGAACACTTACTGGCAACAGCCCAAGGAAGTGGCTAAATAATTTAATGGATAATTGTTTTCTCGCAGAAATGAAGTCTCACACCTCACTAAAATGTTCCCAACAATTTTTGTCTCCGATTAGGAAATCATTAGGAAATATGTAGCTCTCCTGCTCTATCGTTAAAGGTTTTTTTTAATACAGAGCTTAAGCAAAGGACAGGAACTAAACCGGCGAACTAAAACAGCGAACTTGAAAAATAGAACTGAAAGTTCTTTGATTTTCTCCAGGCTGCTGTTGTAAAGAAGAGTTTAGGAAATTCGATGACCAGCTTACTAAGTGGTTTACAAATATACAGAACAACTTAAGAAATCGGCAGTCGCATGCTTTTAATGCGTTGGCGAGACAGTCTCATACTTTTAGCCGAAAGTTTCTTAAATTCAATACAGATCTTGCTTCAATTCCACTCTGAATTAAACTACTGCTTGATTCTGAAGCCGACGTTTCGGTCTCATCCAAGTTTCCTGAAGCTTCCTAAATCAAGAAAGTTTTGCAGATAACATTCATCTCCTCATAATATGAACTGTTTCCGACCTTTAGAACTAACTTCTCAGCATCTCTCAACAAGGATATTACGTCCAAGCGGACGACGGGAAACATTGAAAAATATGTTTCTTTGAAAAACCAATGAGAAGACTACAGCATCTAGTAGTGAGATGGTAATGTCTAATATTTTATGGATCGAACTCGAGGGGGGTGGTCACTGACTGAGGAGATATTTGCCTCTTTCTTGAGACATTGCAAAACGCACTATACAGCAAAACTACCTTCTATTTTTTCACAACAGACAACTGATTCATCTGTGATTGGCACTGAACGTATGAGGGAATCATAAACCTTTGTTCATTGTACCTCTACTGCAGTGTGATAATTCACGTCAGCTTCGGTCCGAGGAACTGGTCGAAGCGCAAAGATCCGATTCGAAAGACACAGCCCAGCGGTTATTTTCATCTCATACGGAGAGTAAGAATAGGTTCATTTAAATCTCTGAATGATTTCCAGTCTATCAATATCATGGCTTATTAAAGCTTAAGTAGAGCAAGTCAACTCATTGCAAGTTTAAGTTTATTTGATATTCTGTGTTGAACTTTTCTTTGACAGGGTGCATCATAGGTTCCGTAGTTTCCCTGTAAGTCTCAAAAAAAAAGCGACGAACAGGGCAGAATCGAACATTTTCATCGTAAATTGGTAATTTCGGTTTCTATGTAATGTCGCACATTGTATACATCTCTTGGTTCGGTGCGATTTGCAACGGCAAAAATCGTTCGACGTAGTCTCGCTTTGCTCTAGTAAACGTAGCGCAAGATATCTCCTATCGCCGTTTTGCGTGACTTTGCTATAAAAGCTTATTGTACATTCGATGTTTATCGTGCTGCAGTGCTTTAACGCTATAAACAGATTTTTACTCAATATTTACATTAACTTAAAGATCAAACAATTTCAGAACCCCGTTATATATTGACATTATCGCAATGTCAGTCGATGAAAAGGGCCTCCGGCCAGCGGACTTCAGTATCTCTAACCCATCGGATACGTCTTTTATTGACGCATGCTGGCTCTCGCCTTGCCCATTGTTTTGTCAGTTTTTTTTGTGCGTATTCTAACGGTAGTGATACAGCCAGGGTATTTCACGCCTTCCACATCAACGGCACACGCGTAGGGGCCATCGTCGTCGGAACTTGCGTTCGGCTTTCTGTACAAGATGGTATTGTCGTCCATTCTGGTGACCAATGGACTGCTCACATCCAAATATGGATCTGAACGGTCCAACCGTTTGAAGCGAAGATTTGATGAACTCACCGGGAAGGTATTGTTATCCTTGCCTAAAACCTTCCTCGATACCAAGCGACAGTATATCTTAACCCAGCGCCCGGTCTGAACGTTGACCTCCCATGGTAGATCTGCAAAATCCAGAGCAGAATATAACATAAATCCCACAAAGCAATTAGTGGAATTACAAAGCTGCATAGAAAAAAAAAGCTCATAAGATCGAGCTATTTTGATACGTACCGACATGAACGACGTTCTTTACATTGCGTGAGAGGTGGCACTCTTTGCTGTCAGAGCTTTCCAAATAAATGAACAGGAACAGAATTAGACGTATGAAACTGGCAGCCGCAGGCCATCCGGGCGAAACTTTGCGAGGCATAGCCGTTCGTAGCACAACGTTGTCACCTCGAAACGTATCGCTATGGAATAGAGATGCCACGACTTTAGCGACAGGGTTCCTCAGCTTCAGTTGAGGTTCATTTGTTAATTATACTATCTGCTCACCGTTTTTGGTCGATTCGGGCACTTCATAAAGAGACGAGGTAAAGAAATAGTTCATAATAACTGATAATTTTTAAAACGATTACAATAGATAATCAACTTTGAATACATTGCCATTTGACGATAGCTCCTTAATTTGACTTGTGCGGGAAGGAACTGGCCACATTATTTACCAGTGACGGCGCCACTGCTAATAACAGCCAGATATGTGAACGGAAGTGACGACATACTTTTAAGATCCACACGGGGCTACCAGGAAGGTCTGCATTGTCTGAGTTGTATGGGGTTACTATCACAAAGGTAACGACAGGGGAAATTCTTGATAAATCGTTTGCAACTTTAATTTAACTTAAGACAATCAATACAGTAGCTGAATAGGGGGTTGGTTTAGGGCAGTGACATTTGAATCGACCCTTACTGTACCTTCAATTTCGATTGCTAGCGTAGACATTGTGAACATGCTAAATACTGAAAGGAAACGTGCAAAACACCTATGACAGAAACGCTATGAATAGGTGTCTCCATTCAGTGCTCTACTAAAAATCTACTAGTTACGTTTTTCGTGTATAAAATAAAACGTATTTGATCCGACGTCCGTTATTTATGTCGAACATACTTATCGGACATGTGGATTTGGTTCCTTGCAGTGTCTTTCTTGGCGCGTCCCTCTCTTGATATTGTATTCATAGCTTATCCGCTCATCAAAAATAGTATAGAGTCAACCGTTTCTTCTCAGTCTAACATAGAAGCCATAACTGAAGGAGAATTATTCGCTCGCCAGGCTCAGAACCCCGCCGTTCGCTGGCAATAATCAGATTTTCTACGTTTCGATACACAATCTCATTTCGTGAAGAAATAAAGACTCTGCGCTAACGCTCCTCTACGAAATTGACAAGACAAAAACTAATAAGCTCCGTATCTAAATGCTGACGACATCACGGCGGCACTGTGACAGTGTATCTGACTATGCCTGAGTTGGTGAAGTTCCACAACCAGCTTCCATGTTATATCTGTAGAACAGTATCGACAAAACACATGTATGCATAGAAGACCATCTGGACACATGCTAAGATGTGCTTAGTCGAAAAAAAAGACCCCCCGACTACATCATAGTGCGAATGTGGAATGCTGAGAGACGTTGCTAAATAAGTCAAGATAAGCCATTCATAATATTCACTATGATCAATTATCATTTTTTACCATATATCCGAATCACATTCAAATTTGATGACTAGATAATGCCACATACGATCTACTTCTACGACTTCTACTAATACGACATACGACCTATTACGAACGAATTATGTGGCTATATTACTCTGCACCGATTTCATTACTATCGAAGTGGTGTAGTGCTTACAATCTTAAGATCGGTTGTATAAAGAGAAGAGCTGAGGGAAGCGTTTAAAGTAAGGCAGCGCAAGTAACAGATATGTTAGGCAGGCAACAAGGCCTTGTTGTGATCGGGATGCACACCCACGCGTAGACGAACTTTGTTTCGTGGTGGGAATCAACCGTCTGATGATATGCCTAACGGTGGCACCGGACGTAAACTCGAAACGTAGAAGCGATGGCGCCTTTACTCCCGATCCCGTTCACCTTAGCAAGACGACAGTGTGCGTCTAATAGCTTTAAGTAAAATGATGACACCGACGAGCAGAAAAACAACAGGCCAGCACTGAAAGGACTTTTCTGAAGAAGGAGGACTACGCGTAAGTGTCGCCGTTCTCACAGTTATTGTTGTTAACGTGATACAATCGAGGTTCTGTGCAGTCCGACTTGAGATACACGTTCAACCTACGAAAGACGTCATTATAAGGAGGCGTCGACAACGACGCTTTCGAATCCATCTAACATTTGCTGATATTCTATTTTCGCTATGAGTTGTAAAGTCTCTGACATCATCGTGAAGTATCGAAACGGCTGTACGGTAGCCTTCCTCCAGTCCGTTCATCAAAGCGACCATTTATTGAACTGCTTCTATGCTATCCGGTTATCTATTACGGAGGGATCTGAAGAACGCAACTCTCAGTTGGCCTCCGTTATTCGGAGTCACCCAGATGTGCGTTACACCTTTCTGTTCGTATGCGATGTAGATGTATGACGAAGTAACAATGAAGCTGTCGGCTGAGTCTGACAGCCTTTTAGAATGGACCGGGAATGCTCCGTCGAACGAATTCTGCGATATTTCTACGAAAATCTAAGATTCAATAGAATCGACAATATCAAATATCTACTTACGTCTTATACTTAATTATGCTTCTTACGTGCCAAAAGGTTATTTAGATTTAGGATAAATTTAATCGCCTACACTTGTCTGTTAAGGCTGCTATACAGAGAAAGCTAAGTATTTTGAATGTGATTGCTCTTGTCATTAGCAAAACAGCTTTCTATTTACATTTATATCATAATGAGCTTTCTTGAAGACATTTTTCTTATTTTTAAAGCTCATCCCACAAAGAAAAACAAGATGTTCGACCAAACATCCTGTTCACACAACCTAAGTTATACCATACGTACTGCTACAATAGCGGTCGAAACGTTTCGCGCCCTGGGGTTTTGCTCGCCAACCCACGAATTTACCAAGCAGGCGGTCAGTCTGACAGGGCTTTGAACCAACTTAACGAGGCGACCTTGAACTGACCGCCAAAATAGCCTTGCTTGTATAATTTCATTTAGACGAGTGCATATGCATCTAGCCAATAGTAAATCTCGCTTGATTTTCTTACTATGTAGACCTTGTACCGGGTAGGTTTGCTGGCATGTAGTGGAGTGATCTGCAACAGTAGTTTTACAGCTTCGAAAAACAACGTCCTCTGCCAAAAAAATTAGGCGGGCAATGCGGGTTGTCGTTGGTGTTGCGGAGGCTGATCTATAACGATCTACGACAATGATACCATCTGGTGCCAATCTCCTATGATGAGTAACTATAGATGACGATGAATATAAACAGGGCATAATTTGTGCCTAGTCACATATTGTGACCCGAAACAGTGAGGACCACGGCCTTTACGAGTATAAAGCATTTGCACTTACGGTCAAATATTGATATATGTATAATTGCGAATAATCATTCACCGGTGCGACTATATTGTACAGAAAGTCCCATTTGTCCCCAAACACGATTTTTATATAAAGCACGAACGCGCAACTCGTATAAACAGAAACGGTATTTAGCGTTACGCCTGGGGAATTCTGAGAAAAGTTTCGCCATACGTTTAAAGTCGCGGCCTTAAGTGAGCGAGAAGCTTCTATCTGTAATTGCTATCCGCTATTTGTTTAAAATAGTCGCCAGCGCCATTTTTAGAAGTGTAGCCAGGTTCGTTCGTGCCTATCCGTATAGGAACAAATAGGTATTTCTCAGAATGAATTTGCAGTACACCTTTTCCATCTGTGCTCATAAAGGGTTGATGAAATAATTCATGTAGTAGATAATCGAGGTTCACTAGAGGTAAATTCATTTGTGGGCCACCTTTTCAAAAAAAGAACAACCTTACGCAAGATTTCATCTAATTCAGAATGCTTGTTAAGCAGCGGCATGGCTACAATCGTTAGCCCAATGGCGTAATCAGCTTCGTAGAGTAGATTAGGGTCCGCGTTGTTGGCTGGACTGATAAGTCTCAGCAAAACAGGCACGAACATTATCTGGAAAAATATGCCCACAAGCCCATGAGCAATGTCTGATATGAATGCAGCCATGCTGAAGATCGTAAATGAAATAATACGTTATAAAATTCTCGGTACGCTTACTAAGCTCACGTAAGTTCGCTACATTTATCGACTCGTCGGTTGAGTTCGAACTTGCCGTTCTCTAAAATGTCCGCTAAATGATAGAGAACTGTAGCCGTTACCTTTGCTGTTGCACACACGGGGCAAACTTGGCCGGATTTGTTAAATGCATACATTAAAAGTTTTGCGTACACAAGGACACATACATGCACAGAGAGCTACACACATAACAAAGCACTGTTGTAACATAACGGGAGCCGCAATAAACCACGGACGTTTGCACACATGAGAGACATTTTCCATTAACCAATATATATATATATATATATATATATATATTTACGCACTAAGAAAACACTGCAGCGTTTGAATGTGACGCTTTCTATACAAATTGCGAATACAAATGACTGAAGACGCGGGGTGCCAAGCGGTTTTGTTGTGCGCTACAACAGAACGCCGTTGTCGTCAAAGCCATCGCAAGATTAACATGCCACGAGCTGATCACCGCGTTCATGGGCCGCAATCATTCGCTTCTTTGCCCTCTTTCCTTAGCGCGAACCAGTATTCTTGAAAGGAGATGTAAGTATATAAAATGAACGCGGCTCTTTCGCACAATCGGCACCAGCCAAGCCAGGGGTCCCACTGTTGTTAGCCGGTCATTGTTAATACTATTTTCGCCTGACAGTGGACCTTTTATTTTACAAGCATTTTTTCAATTAGGTATATTGTCGTCAGTTCATTATAGCTGTACAATCAGTGGAAGGAACTACTATTTAAGTTTGCGATATCGGAGGAAAAGCAACACGAAAATCGGAGCGATACACTTTGCGGCACCATTCTCTGATTATATATCATTGTAGGTGTTGGACTCGAAAGTTATGCTCTCGACTGACCCAGCTTTCGTTCAAGTATGTATTTATTAAATAACTTGCGCCATCGTTGCGTGCATTTAGCAGTTATCTATGGGCACGTGTTATCCTTTTATGGCATCCTGGTCCAACTTCAACGATCCCTAATGCGCTATAAGCTGATTACCCTGTCTCTGGCTTTAGGTACGATAAGTTTTGCGTATATAGTTGTAAGTTACATCCATGTAGTTCCATGCCAGGTCATATCCGTAGCCCTTAGACAAGGCACCTCTTATTTTTTTATTTTGTCGCTTCACAGATACATGATACTTGCCTAACAAACGGGGCCAGTAAATGACACTGATAATTTGGTATCAAGTCGTCCTCAGAAGCCCGAACCGAATCGGATGGATAACGAAGAACGAAATGAACACTTCATCGATCACTCAATTATCGAAAATCTAGAAGTAAACAGTATTCCAATAAGCGCAACGTACCGGCTTCTAATAAGGAGGGGTTTCGACCAAATTGAAAACATTTTCCGTCAACGGTCAATCCAAGAATCGCCTTTTTCTAAAGAATATTCAGCCACTCGATTTATCCTAAGACGGTTAGTGGAGCAAGCGAGAAAATGCAGAGCGACGCTGAAGCAAACCCCTTACAACGCTTTCTACCTGAAGGATATTGAGCGACAGGTTATCGCACTATGCGGCCAGTTCCGCCTCACGGTGATGAACGTAGAAAATGAACTATTGTCGCGTAATTGCAGCAAGCTAACTATACAACATGAGGCTCAGTTTAGGAACCTCACTATACCGAGCGACTTGAAAAAACCAGTGTATATGAAGCTCAACCCGTACTATGATATCGTGATTAAAGTCAACCAATCGTTTGCCTCCATTTTAAGCTTGGCAGTCATCTGCAGATCCGACATGAAGTGCGTTAGGATTATCGATAATTTTCGAATTTCGATAATATTTGATTGGCTCCATTGTGCGGCGTTAAATGATTACAAACCTTACAATCCCAGCCTCAATTTGCCCCAGTCAAACTAAAATACTCCCCACCGCACCCGCTGAGGCCGCCAGCGCCGTCACCGCCAAACTCCACTACGTTCCAATAGTCAGGCTTCAACATTCCGAACGGCGTGCTGCGGTACTAGAGCTGCGTACCTTCTACGTTCTACGTTCTATTTACAGACAAAATCAAGCTCTCGTGAAAGCGACAAAAGCTTTGTTTGATCAGAGGCATACCTTGACATAAACTGCTACGGTTCCGCAACGTGAACAAGAACCCGTCCGTAGATAAACCAATCCAGCTCCTTCGACGGAAGCGGCAGCAAAATGCACTACACTCAAGAAGTTTCGAACGAATTTAGGAGAGAACTATAACTAAAAAAATTGATATAGCAAAAGGGTAGCATGCCTCTAGTGCTAGAGGGTCGTCAGAACAAACGTCCAATAAAAACGATGTTTTTTCAGAAACAAACGTCGGAGCGTAGTTTTCCAACCTTAGTTTGTAAGCCACATTGTCTCTAAAATTCTATACACACATAAACACACAATGTCCGCATCATGACCTCACTCATAGTACAATTCGGCCATTCCGAACGCAGCATCTAAATAGGGTAACTACGGAGAAAGTGAAGCGTAAAGTTCTTTTGACGATATAACATTGGCTCTTATAATAATAATAATGGCGTCTGGTTCGTACCATAATACGACCTGTTCTCGTAACTGGGTGCCCAACTACATGTAATAACCATTCGCACATCTAATATGTGTTTAATACAAAAAATATTAGGGTGCACTAGTAGACAGACGACACCATCTTTAGGGAGCAGATAGCAGAAGTTTTTAATAATAATAATAATAAAACCGGCTAATAAAACGGAAAAGAATAGTTTTTAGTATTTATAGGCGCACCTTTATATTTAAGATCTCCGTGATTCGGCTTGACTCAAGTATATGTCACACTCCGCTCGACGGTCACGTTATATGTGCTTTTCTGAACCAGTAGCTAACGCTATCAAAGCTGATGGTAAAACAAAGTTTTGTAGATGAACGGCCGTACTCGGTTCAGGGTACGGTTCCAGTGAAATTTACGCGAAGTAGGTCTGACCTGGGAGTCTAAAATTACAGCTAGCTAAAACAGGTTTAAACGGTGAAGTACATACAGTAGAATGGAAATCAATCATTCCACATAGCTCGAGCCACACAGGCAACATGGCTTATTCGAACATAGCACTTCATTCTGTAATTGTCGGAGCTGCTCGGTTCAGCTCGTTTGTAAAGAACCCGGGAGTCGCTGCCGAAGAACGTGTTTCGCACTTGACCGCTGTTTACAGAATATACTATAAAAATAAGCAGGTACATTTAGCAACTGCGAGGTTAGGCTCTGCAGCCTGGGTTACAATATGATCGAATTAAAAAGAAAAAAACGTGATGACTAGATTTAGAACATAGTATCATTCATGAAATTAGGTAGTAGGCAATAGAGGTCACTGCCACGTGACGCAACCCAAACTTCCTGCCAGTGATGTCAAATTCGCATGCTATTCACTAGCTTGAATAAGCATTATATTGAATGGTATAAAGTCGCCTAATACCATCTTGCCCCCTCACTTAATCGGAAGTTCAGTCAGCGCTGAACAGCTCCAAATCATGCCTATGATATGGTGCTGTTTACGTTTTTGCTGCCCAGCATAGGATAAGCTATTTTTCACCACAGGTCAGGCAACTTCCTTTTACTGCCAGTTGTTGTGAGTTAATGTTGTGCTCCATCGGAGCGCCTTGTCCATGTAATTGAAAAATTGGCGCTTTGCCTGATTTTTTGACCTGGTTATTTTGGTCCTTTTCTATAACCACTCAGCGTTCGACCGTGCAGCCCGTTTCGTGAACCGGGACAAAAAGAGAAACAGACACGGTTCAACATCAAGTCAAAGATTAAACCGTGTTTCGATCGCTCAAAATGATCGTTGATTGCTAAGAGCGTCTATATGTCTTAGTTTTTGCTTCTTGTAACTCTCTCGCCAACCACTCAGCATCGATATGCCCCTAGTGAACAGTTTTGCTTACGGCAGAACGTTGAATTCTGCAATAATCTGTTAGGCAATAGCCTCGGAAAGGCGTCAAAGAGCAGCTAATCGAAAATGATGAAGATCAGTTTCTGATGTAATGATATCTCTAACTGGTTAGCGTGGTGAAGATCTGGAAATGAGACGATTCGGAAAAGTGACTCAGCCACAACCGTCTATTGAACCCTTGATCTCGTGCTTTGCCAATTAGCTACATGAAGACTTCCTAGCAGGCTGATTGATAACTAATATTGAGAGGGTTAGATGTTCATTAACAAAGGCATGCTGCGATCACTGCGAGTCCGTTTCGAGCTACGAATGGGCAACACTTTATGCTATTAGAGCAATGTAACCCGGACTTTTTTTACGTAATGGCGGTGCTTTAGTCGGACTTCTGTGCGTGCCGCTGAAGGAACTTCGTACGAGTAGCTTAAGAATATTTTCGGATTAGCGGGGAGATAAAGGCAAAAATACTTCTACGGATTGGTTTATCTAAACTTGTTTCTTTAAGATATGTAGTATTTTTGGCTTTATGTACGCGTACGTGGTAAGGGTTCTCGCTATGGGAGCGAGGCTAGATGAACCCAGCTAACTAGTTACGTAGTTGTAGCAGCTTTCTGCTCTTTAGCCGGTGTTAACACGTAGCGTCATTGGAAGGCCTGTAGTTTCCTGCAACACATGGCATAAGAGTAAGCTTAAGGTAGGACATTGCTGGCTTCATGTAGAAAAACTGGACAAAATTTTCTTTTCTAGGAAACAGCCGTGGAGCAGATAATGATTTTTATCTAGTTAACACCAACAACCATAGATGTTCAGATTCTGCTAAACAATCCGTACATGTATTTCGAATGGTTTACAGATGGCATGTCCAAGCGCTCAAGAGAACGGGACGGTCGTCTCCCGAGGAGTGTGGACACAGACGTGTTTGTTGTATACGGTTCGATACCATGCAGGTGGGCAAACTAACGTAACTTACCGCACTGAAACCTGTCACAGCAGCTATTTGATTTCAATAGGAAAAAAATCTATTCAGAAATACGCGAAACGAAAAACGGCTCTAGTGCAGCTCGAGGTTTAGGTAAGCTCACTTTTTGACATATTGACAATAAAAGGAACGCACAATCTAAAATGTTGAAATTAGTATTCAGCTTCTAACTATTGGCTTGTTGAAAACGGGTTCCTCCCACTTTTGCCATATCAATTGACACGTAGATGACGAACCATTATTATTATTACTTTTATTAAACAACTATTGGCCCTTCGCGCATGTGGTAACGAACCTCGCCAGTGATGTTTCGAGTCTGCGGAGAAGCTTTTTTTTTAAAGTGAAAGCCTGATTTTTGCCAGGCAAGCACTCTCTCAGTAAGCAAATGTCTCAGCCACCGTAAAACAGCTTTTAATGAAGATACCTATTATTATTATTATTACTAACACAAATCTTATATAGGGGGACAGATAAAACACACAGACGTTCTAAGTATGTGATACTGAAAGCAATTTATTTTACCCGTGTAATAATGACACGTTATATACATTAAATAAATATATGATAATTTGTTGCTTTTTGTGTCCACGGTCGCTTTCGCGCACGCTCTTTTCTTTCTTGCTTCCATTAACAGTTTGCTTTCATAGCCTTTTACTTTTCGGCGTTATCCATTAGCCTTTTCTATGTTATCGTTCGACTTCATTTTTGTCAGTTCACTCGAGATTCCATTTGTCTGACTGAAAACACATCGTCATGAACCTCGATGAACATACTTGCCCTATATATCTTACACCCACATCACCCCCGTACCACAGAGTTCTTGGCAAGTGTCTAGCTTCTGACATCTTCTGCCTTGTTCAATTGGTTTTCGGAGCTAATTAACCCACCCACCCACCCACCCACTCCGACCACAGTTCAACGAACAGAATTCACCTTTGTTCTGTTCATACCATTTTCAAAACCATCGACCATTGTCGCCGTCATTCT